TAGAAACCAGATGCGCTCCAAGCAACTCACAACGATGCTGCTGATCACTGCCATCACCTCTGCCCTCCTGTGGCTCCCCGAGTGGATAGCTTGGCTCTGGGTTTGGCATCTGAAGGCAGGGGGCCCGACCCCACCCCAAGGCTTCATAGCCCTGTCTCAAGTCCTCGTGTTTTCCATCTCGTCAGCAAACCCTCTGATTTTTCTAATGATGTCTGAGGAGTTCAAGGCAGGCTTAAAAGGCTTATGGAAGTGGACGGTAACTAAAAAATCTCCAATTGTCTCCGAGTCTCAGGAAATCGCAGCCGGTAACCCACAGGTCCTTCCTGACGAGCTCCCATCTCCGGAGTCCCGGATATCCACTCCAGGCAAAGAGAAGACTGGTTCTCCCTCCTCCGGCAGAGAGAAAACAGAGAAGGCAGAGATCCCCGTCCTCCCTGATGTAGAGCAGTTCTGGCACGAGAGGGACACAGTTCCTTCTGAACAAGACAACGATCCTGTCCCCTGGGAACATGAAGATCAAGAGACAGGGGATTGTGATAAACAGATTTCAATGTCAAAGCAAAAATGAATTGTGATTGTTGTATTTACTTGTCCTGCTACTTATCAATATGGCTCACATGACCATACAAACTGTAACCAATTAGTTAGACATTACAAAATGCCTCATATTCTGCATTTGCAAAATGTCCAATCTGGTAAGTAGAATACTGTGATAGGAATAATAATTGTTTCAGAATTATACCCTGTGCAAAGAACTCCTATATGTAGAGATGGTCAGTCTGATGAGCCCAGCTATTCTGTTATTTGAAATTTTTTTAACTGGATCTTCCCTTGGACCAGTCCTGTATTGTGCTGGCTGGAATAGGCTCATCTTGGTCAAAGCTTACCTTCCCTTGATTTTCATCTTCTTCAACCTGCTGGCCACAGCTTCAGCTATCGAACCCTCTATCACATAAAGAAGGCTCAAAACCTACTCTGATTTTTAACACATCAATGAGTACGCTTAATAAAGTTAATTTACTTAATGAAAACCCATATAATTTTTGTGACCAAAGCTAACAGAGTAGGGACTACCGCTTTATTCCAGTTACAGGCTTTTAAACAGTGGCTACTTTTGGCTAAAACCTAAAAGTTTAAACAAATTCAACTTTTTGTTACGTTAAAGATTGCTTTGATCATCTTTTTGAAGCAACCTGAATGAGTTTACAGTTGCTAAGAACTTTAGCAGCCTAGCATCATGTTCTATACTCAAATGGGGGAGGGGGGGCAGGACTTAAAACCTGTCTTTATCTTCCAAAACACAGGAAATAGGTTTTCCCTTGCGAGCAGGTATTTCTTCCAACACCCCTTTTCAACCAAGATAAACCATAAGCTTCGGTTAATGATATAGGTATTGATCACTGATTCAGGGCAAGCCTAAAAGTAAACGGGGGGAGATGAAAAGTGCTTTTTTGTTCAATGTTATTAAATTCAGCTGTTAAGGCATTCAGATCTGGCTAAAAAGCCCATGAGTTTCTCAGACATGAAAAGCCAAGACACTGTGGCAAAAAATGACCTAAATGAAAGATCTCTGTGAGTGAGATCCCAGTGGAAAGAAGGGGCCATCAAAGGAGGTACCTTTCTCTGAAGGGAGGAGAGAACCTCCACTTTGATATGGCCCTGTTTAAATAAGGTCAGTTTGTGAACTCAAGAGGCTTCCATAGCCTTGGCAGCTCATAAGAGCCTTGGGTGATATCATAAATAAGAGTGTCAACTGTTAAATCAACAACAGGAGTCACTGTGCACTTGCTCCCCATCTAAGACCTCTGTCCTTAATGTGTTGTACTTTGAGAATTAACAGTAAAACTAGTCTTCAAACAGTACTTTATACTTGTGTCTGTGTGGGTGCAAACTGCTGACATCTTTACTTAGTATATACTAAGTTGATCTGTATATAATTAAAAATGAATCTTAATGAAGAATGGGATGGGAGAGGGAGTAGGAGATGGGTTGGTTCGAGGTGGGAGAGTGATTATGGGGGGAAAAACCGCTAAAATCCACAAGTTGTACTTTCAAAATTTATATTTATTAACGTTTTCTAAAAAAAATTTAGTTGTTAACACTTAATTTGAACCCTGCTCAGTTTTGAAAATGCCACAAGGCTTCTGTTATAATCAGAGTAACATGAGAAAGAGATTAGTATAGAAAGGAAAACCCAACATATAAAATGGAATGTGGCTAAAATTAGAATGTAAAAAAGTGCAGGAGCAAAGCAAAAAACAAACCAAAAAAAATTAAATTGCATTCTTAGACATCTGTTCCATTTTGAGTAGCAAGCAGTAACTTCACTTTATAGCAAGGTTAAAGGATGCCCAAATAAAACATGATATGACATTTATCCATGCCACTTTATTACTCTGGAATTCTGAGGTATTTTCGGAGTTTCCTGGGGGTGGGGAACACCGCAAAAGCAAGCAATGGAAAATCTGAAACACAAAGATGCTGTGGAAATAGCCACTTTCCTTTCTAAATGTTGGGGTTTGTATTCAGTTTGCTTTTTAATGCAGAAGGTAGGTAGGGCCGATTTTTTTTTTGTCAGTTCATTACAAATTTTATTTAAAATTCACAAAATAATTTTATCCAAGAATCCAAAATATTATTTTATTTTTTATATTATTTTATTATTTTATAACGGTTGTTTTATAAGGGATTACCATTAAAGTAGTCTGTGGTGAACTACATGTATTTTTGTTATTTTAATAAACCTAAGGATGTAAGCTTCTAGTGTTTCAGTTGTAAAGAATTTTTTTTAAAAAAACCTATGTTTTACTTTAGATAGTTTTGATGGTCTTAAACCTATCTTTGGGGCCGGCACTACAGCTCAATAGGCTAATCCTCCGCCTTGCGGCGCCAGCCAGCACACCGGGTTCTAGTTCCGGTCGGGGCGCCGGATTCTGTCCCGGTTGCCCCTCTTCCAGGCCAGCTCTCTGCTGTGGCCAGGGAGTGCAGTGGAGGATGGCCCAAGTGCTTGGGCCCTGCACCCCATGGGAGACCAGGAGAAGCACTTGGCTCCTAGCTTCGGATCAGCACGGTGCACCAGCCGCAGCGGCCATTGCGAGGCAAACCAACAGAAAAAGGAAGACCTGTCTGTCTCTATCTCTCACTGTCCAGTCTGCCTGTCCAAAAACAACAACAACAACAAAATCCTCAAAATCATCACTTGGAAGAATGGGTTTCATGGGGGGATCTGACCTTAACACTAGCATTGGCCTTAGGGGAAACTGATTTTCAAAGGGTCTGCTGATAAGCACCAAATGAAGATAGAAATGTTGGAACAAAATGTAATTACAATGAACTTCTCATTCAGGGAGGATACAGTCTTAACTTGATCCCTTTACCAATCTGCACAGAGAAGTTTTATTTGTACCATAAATGACCAAACACAACTACTTTAAGACAAAAGTAGAGAATTATGTTATCATCAAATCATTTTCTTCACTTCCCTACTAGGACAAAGAGAAGGTAGTAATAAGGCAAACAATACTATGTGGAATTCAGAATAACAAAAACATTTCTATAATATAGTTGTTTTCTGGGGCCAGTGTTACTGCACAATGGATTCAGCTGCCACCCCACATCACTGGGGCTGATTCGACTCCTGGCTTACTCCACTTTGTGATCCACCTTTCTGCTCATGTGTCTGGGAAGGCAGTGGAAGATGGCATGACCCACTACTTGGGCCCCTGCCAGCCATTTGGGAGACCGAGACGGAGTTCTGACTCCTGGCTACATGGCTACAGCCTCACCCAGACCCAGCTGTTGCAACCACTTGGGGAGCGAACCAGCAGACAGAGAATCTCTCTCTGCCATTCTACCTTCTGAAAAAATAAATATTTTAAAAAACAGATGCTTTCCTATCCTGGGGCCAGCGTGGAGGTGCAGGTTAAACTGCACTCTGTGATGCCAGCATCCTTTTTATTGGTGTTGGTGCTAGTCCTGGCAGTTCTACTTCCAATCCAGCTCCTCATGTGCCTGGGAAAGCAGTGAATGATGGCCCAAGTATTAGGGTCCCTGCCACCCAAGTGAGAGATCCTAACGGAGCTCCGAGCTTCTGGCTTTGTCGTGGCCTGACCTGACCATTGCAGCCATTTGGGGAGGGAATTGGTGGATGCAAGAATCTAACGCTTTCAAATTAGAAAAAAAAAAAAAAAAAAACTTAAAAAAAAGATTTCCTTTTAGCAAGCACTTTAATCTCATGCTTTATAAAGCTCCAAAGGTACTGGATGAATTTATAAAAATGAACTTCAAAAAATATATATATATCTTATTTACCAATTTTGCAAGTTAAGACACTAGTATGATCATCAAAGCCAGGTTTCTCAGTAGCACAGAGCTCACCATTTCTATGATACTTACCAGACTCAAGCTAAGTAATATGGATGTGAATGTTTGCACCTGTGACTATGTACAGATAACACTGGAGTACAGAGCTGCTTGTGTCCCACCTCCCACCCCCCCTTTCCTAGGCAATACCTAGCAATCATGGTAGATAGGAGTTAAAATACAAACATGCATATTTTCTCAAACATTTTATGTGTGTGGCACTTTAAAACTGGCAACCTATGGAGTGATGAAACAGATTCGTTTCATTTGAGGGAGGTAAAGCTGGACAGCAGTTAGGAATCCAAGTTTGGTTTCACGGTGCGATGTACTTGTCATGTTGAAAGAACACAAAAAAGGCACAACATATCAGTATGTTCACAGAAAGACAAAAACAAGAAAACAAACAAAAAAAACCCAGCATCTTCTTTCTATGAAGAAATAGGTATTAAGGAACTTGCGCACTAAAATGGTTCTCTACAAATTCCTTCTCTTTATACTACAAATAATGTACATGTAATCTTTTTACAACTATGTATCAAAAAAGATTTAAATCAGTTTTCTTTGTACCAAATTACATGTGTTGATTCTGTTTTTTAAGTGTTTACAAATTATGTAACAATAATCATATACAATTCACATATATAAAAAGGGTTGTTTTATTGTAGTTCAAATACATAAACTGAACATTCAAACATCTTAAAATTAAACTTTAGAAACAGAAGTTTAACATTCGAACAGGAGTATATTTTACAGGGAACGTCCATAAAGGTAATTTGTTGTCTAATCCAGAATATTGATAAAGATCATTTAATGATGAATAAAATATGTTTAACCAGCGGTTCTATTCTGGCCAACATGTTAGTTATGACCGTGGTTCCATACCTGAGAAGAAATTACTAAATAAATCTTCTCTTAGGCTAAACAACAAGACTTGGCCTATAATTCAGAGGAATAATCAAAGCACATTAAGTGAACACATAAAACTAAATTGTTCTTTAGAGACAAAGGGAAAAGTATGTCCATTATAATAATCTTAGCCTCTGGAAGATAAGAATTCAATTTTCAGTGTTTTCTTTTACCCGCTTTAAAAAACAAAATCAAAACAAAACAAACTTCAACTCAAGTTTTCTTGGAGTCTGTGGTATTTGCACCTTGCAAGTTCAAACCACAAATGCTTTTGTCCTGCATGTGTAACACTGCTAGAAAGAACATTACCAAGTCACTGACTTCCACACCTCGTAAAAGGATGATTTTTAGCTTCGAGATTTTAGATTTACTAGAGACAGCCTATATTTGAGTATGTATGTCAGTCATGCCACACAAAGAAAAGCATAAATATTTCCAAAGTGTTCTATTCAGAAACTGTTCACAAATGCTTCTCCTGTTCATCAGATGGTTTTGCAATAGGTTGACTAATGCACATATATGTAAAAACCTGAAAACTGGCTCATGCAAGCGTTTTGAATTAATAGATAACCCTGGGACAGAGTATTGAGAATTATTTTGTTGACCGTCTTGTGGGCTCTGATGCTGTGGGAGGCGGGGGTGGACCCCGGCGATCTAGGTCATCCACGTACGCCACAATGAGTTTCCGCCTCTCTTCCGGAACACAGTCCAGTACTAGATACCGTTTGTCATTCTGTAAAATTTTTTCTACATCTTTCAGGTGCTGATCAGATTCTTGGATTAACTTTTTGGATCTGAAATAAGAAAAAGAAGTCCAAGAATTACTGACTGCTGTTCATAGGTCTGTTAGAAATGAGCTGGAAATGTCCATTCTAGTACCTAATTGTGTTGCAATTTTTTTTTTTTTAAGAAAAATTTCACTGCAGTGGTCACCTTTGTAAGTTGCCTCAGCAAAGACTCCAAGGAGTGAAAGGGCCTCAGAAGCTGAATTACCCTCCCACCCCTACTGGTTATCCCTCCAGATCAGGGCTGAGGGTGGGTGGGTAAATCTTGCCCGTGCTGTACCTGTTCTGTGGATGAACAGAGGACTTCAGTCTGCGGGGCTGCCAATCCCAGCATCTTTCACAAGCTTTCACTTTCACATCTTTCACTAAATTAACTATAAAAATGTAGAAAGAAGTCTTACTTCACATCTAATTTAAAAGCCCAAGCTGATGCAAAACATTAAGGATCCTGACCAAAAAAATCCAAATGACAAAATACCTAAAAACCACACCCTCAGCACTATCTATCCTCCCGTGCACACACCCTTCATTAAGATGTTTCAGATTTTTCTTTTAAAGGATGAAAAGCTGGAGTATGAAACAAAAATGGTCTCCTGCATACACTGACTGGTAAGCAATGTAAAATTGTTTTCCTGAAAACAAAAAAATTATTACAGGTGGGAAACTTCTGGGTATGCTATAGAGAAACTGCTTTAAGACTCTGATTTTATAATTGAAAATTCTCAATTGAATGTATCCAGCAAACTGCTTTCCTCCAAGAAAAAATGTTTTTGCTGAGCTAAAATGGATGATTTCAAGATTTAGACTGGTCTAACCACACTGAATAGTCTTCAGAAGAGGCAAAGATAATTGATAGAAGTATTCAGTCTCTTTGTAAAATACAACTCTTATGTAGCTGGGGATGCTCCTAAAAAAGCAGCGAAGTAAAAACAAAAGTATGTTTTAAAAACTGGATAGGTAGGTAGCAAAATAAAAATTGACATCTGGGCCCTTTCTTTAAAAAAAAAATGGGGAGACATGGGCTTTATTTGGCTTTGGATAAAGGTTAAAATCTTCTTAGTCCTAAAAATTAATAATGTCAACGTGTGTGAATGCAAAGTATGCTTTGGTCATTAGAGTAAGGACTAGTAAAGACAGTGGCTGCTGACATGAAACATTTCATTGCACACACCTATATGTTATAAATTTGGTCTCTTTCAAAAGCGTCCTGAAGTCAGCTTTGGCTGTGATGTATTTGTCTCTGATGTATTCTTCAAACTCTCTCTGCTTTTTCTGGAAAACAAAAAAAAAGGGGGTGGGGTGGGGTGGATCAGGGTAAAACATTCACTAATTCTGAAATAAGTATCAATTATTGAGACAGTAATTTGTAAGTCATATAGTAAAATTCAAAATAAAATAGTAGTAAGGTACATTTGTGTTATAGAAAATTCATTAAATGCATTATCTGTAATTCACCTTTTTAAGGCAAAAAGAAAGCAAAACCAAGAACATATTAGCAGTGGCTAAAATTCATGGGCTTGCATCTTCAATCTTCATTAATAACCTCAACTAGACACTCTTAAAAATAAGGAAAGTATGGGTTAATTTCATATAGACTATTTACATCTTCAAGCATGAACAAACTCATTGTCCTAAGTTATGGATACACCAACAAAACTCAGAACTTAACATACTCGGGCCAACGTTAAGCCACTGCCTACAGCACTGGCATCCCATATGGGTGCTGGTTTGAGTCCTGGCTACTTTACTTCCAATCCAGTTCCCCAATGATGCACCTGGGAAAGCAGCAGGGAATGGCCCAAGTACTTGTGCCCCTGTAACCTATGTGAGAGACCAGATGAAGCTCCTGGCTCCAACCTGACCCAGCGCCAGCCATTGCAGCCATTTAGGGAGAGAACCTGTGAACGAAGACCTGTCTCTCCTGTCTGTCTGTAACTCTGCCTTTCAAATAAAAAAAAAATTCTCAAAGTCATATTATTTTGTGGTCAACACATCAAAAAAGTCAACTTACTAGAGTTTGAGGGCGAGTCTAAGAATATTAGATCCATTTTTTTTTTTTTTTTTTTTTTTTGACAGGCAGAGTGGACAGTGAGAGAGAGAGACAGAGAGAAACGTCTTCCTTTTGGCTGTTGGTTCACCCTCCAATGGCCGCCACGGCCGGCGCACCGCGCTGTAGATCCATTAATTTTTTTAGGCATCAGATCTAAGAAACAACCAACCAGGAAAGAGAAACCAATAGGCCAAGGGATAACATGGACTGCAGCAAGGAGCACTTTTCTCCACGTGTTAAGTGCTTAAGACAGTAAATTTGTTTTCTTCACAGAAGAGTGCCCAAGAACAGGAATCAGCTTTTACAGACTTAATGCACCCAAAAGGTTCTTCTACTTTAAAGTCTCTGGAACACACAAGGACTCAGCCCCTCATTACAGGGTACTGTTACTGTGGCTTAACAGCCAGCTGTTTTGATGGCCAACAGCCAACCTGACTATGTCTTTCTCATGGGACCTGACTAAAAATAAGTTTAAATCTGAGATCCCAAAACACAAGCTTAACCCAAAGGATTCAACGTTAAACCTTCTGGTGTGCTCCCTTGTTAATAAATTGTTCCAAGAGGCAAAATATGAAATTATGAAATTAAGAATAATTTCTTAAAAGTGTATCACTTAAAGCCATCACTATCATTTTAAGAAACTTAACAAAAACAAACTTATCACCTTATCACCATTTTAAGAAATTTAACAAAAAAGAAACTTAACCACTCAATTAAATTTATAACTGAACAATAAATTTCAGACACAAAATCCTCTTACCCTGTCACTAGAGGAGAACTTAATGCACCGAGGATCTTCCTTAATGATTTTCTTTACTTCTTTCCATGTAGACGTTAAGGTAATCTTTGAAAAGACAAGTGAATTAAAAATATAAATAGAGCTCACTTCTATTTACAGAGTCAAACTGCAGCACATATGGTACATAATATTCCACACTGACCTGCAATCTCTTGTAATGCCCAAGCGTAACTGGACTAGTAAGGGACAGGGAAGCAGCTTTAATGCAATTTCTTTTTGTTGGCTTGCCACAACAGTTATTTTCATGGCCATACTTTCAAGGTGGCCTAAATCACCTGCAAACCCTGCATTTACATGGGCAAACATCATAACTTCTGAAGAAACCATCACCAAAAAGAGCAGATAAACAGGAACAAAATCTGGATGACAAAGTGTACAAACTGCCAAACAAGGGGGCACAGCACCAAATTGCAAATGGAGCAAAAGGAACCAACTAAATCTATTATCAGGAGGGATAACCGGTCACACACAGCCGATACAGCTTGAATTAACACAAGAGCAGAAACAATCTGAAAACTGAAGATGTAATTTCTAAATAGTAAGAATGCCATAACATTGCTTCTAAACATCAGGAAAGAAAAATACTGTAAAACCTATGAATCCCAGTTACATATCTAAAGACCATGACCCCCAAAATGCCATCAATATGTTATTTTTTTTGTTTTAAAAATTACCAATGAAGATTCATCCAGGTTAGAACAGGAAAAATAAGAGACACTCACCGCAGATGTTTCATCCAGAAGCTGCCTAAAGTGCTCTCTCTTCTTTTTGGTAAGTGCTTCAATGTGTTCATTAAAAAGCTTCTCTTTTTCCTCTCTTTCCAAGAGGGATCCAGATTCCCAGCGGTGATCTTTTCGGAGGGTCCTCCGAGTATCAGACCATGACACATCTGAAGAACGCACCTAGAAACAGAGAACTATAAATGTAACACCAAAGAGACTTTTCGTATTTCAACAACAAAGGGCTCAACTGTTTCGTTTAGGAAATTTAAAAAGGTACAGTCATTTAGAAACTAAGAAGCTATTTTCTAAAAATTATAGACTTTTGATATTAAGTGAATTTTTTGTTAAAAAGCCATTTAATAGAACACACAAAAGCACTAAATCTAATTTAAATCAACAACTAAATAATGTACATTTCCAACGATCCAGAAACCTAGCTTCTGGATCCATCTTACAAGTCACTGAAAACCTACTTTATTGTAAGCCAGAAATCTTTCCTCCTAGGGCTCATCTAAGCTACCAAACAAGGAAGTCTGGAGACAGGCAAGGATGAACAGAAGATATTTTCCACTAACCATAATCCTTAAGAACTTTAACAGTACTTAGGAACAGAAATAAAAAGAAAATATTTTTATTTGTCTTCTTGTACTTTAAAAAAAAAAAAAGTACCAAAAACCTTGAGTTCAAATTTGGACTTACCAATTACAAATTTGGGAAATGGTATTTCCAAGCATAAGCACGAATTAACAGTCAAGAAGACAACAGATATAAAACAGTTCAACATTCACACATCACTGAACATGATGTACTCTATTAACAAACTAAAGGATAAAAACCACATGATCAGGAAAACCATCTGATAAAATTTAACACCCTTTCATGACAAAACCTATCAACAGATTAGGTATAAAGGGAAGGTACCTCAACACAATAAAAGCCATATAGGGCAAACCTGTTGCTAACATCATACCCAATGGTGAAAATGATAGCTTTTCTTCTATGATCAGCAACAAGACTAGGACACTCCTTCACCACTTGTTTCCAACAAAGTATTTGAGCTCTCAGACAAAGCAATTAGTCAGCACAAAGAAACAAAAGGCATCCTAATAGGAAAGGAAACGGTGAAAATGTCTCTGTTTGATGACAACATGATTTTATATGTAGAAAACCTTGAGGATGCCACCAAAAAGCAATTTGTAGTGGTAAACTCCAGTAAAGCTTCCTGGATACAAAATCAACATAAAAAATCAGCAGCATTTCTACATACTAACAAGCCATCTGAAAAGGAAATTAAGAAATCAATTCAATTTATAATAGGAATAAAAAGATAAAAAATACTTAAGTATAAAATTAACCAAGGTTCGTGAAGATCTTATATTGAAAGCTATAGATCACTGATAAAAGAAATGGAAGAAAAGAGAAGTAATGGAAAGATATCTGGTGTTCAAAGATTGGAACATTGTTAAAATACTCATACTATCCAAAGAGATGCACAGATTTGATGCTGTCTCTACAAAAAACTCGAATGTCAGGGTGGGAATTGTGGTAACAGTGAGTTAAACTGCTAGTTGGGATGCTCATACTCCATTGGAGTGCTGGTTCAACTCCTGACTATTCCACACTTGCAATCCAGCTTCCTGCCAATGAGCCTGGGAGGCAGTAGATGATGGCCCCAAGTACCTGGGTTCCTGCTACCCAAGTAGAAAACCTGGACACAGTACCATAGGTCCTGGCTTCAGTCTGGCCCAGCCTAGGGTGTTACAGGCATTTGAGGAGAGAACCAGCAGATGAAGCTCGCTCTCTCTCTCCCAGAAGATGAAGATCTCTCTCTCCCCCACCCCACTTCACTCTCCCTTTCAAATAAATAAGTAAATTGCAATGTCATTTTTCAAATAAATAGAAAAAGCAATACTTCATTCATATGGAACCACAAAAGATGCCAAAGAGGCAACACAATCTTGAACTGCAAAAACAAAGCTGGATGTATTATACTCTGATTTCAAAACATACTTTGAAGCAGATGTAATCAACTCAGCATGGGACTAGCATAAAAACAGACACATCAAGAAATGGAGTTAAGACAGACAGAAATAAACCTGTACAGTTACAGCCAATTGACTGCCCCACCATATGCTAACACACTTCAGGAAACGGACAGTGTCTTCAACAAATGGCATGGGAAAACTGAATATCCACATGAAGAAATGTGAAACTGGATCCTTATCTCACACCATATTAAAAACAAAAAAACAACTCATATACACAATGAAATACTAGTCAGCCTCAAGGAAACAAGAAAATTCTGTCACTTGCGACAACATGGATGAACCTTGAAGACCATGAGCTAAGTGAAATAATAATCCAGACACAGAAAGACAAACACCACATAATCTCGTTTATATGTGGAATCTAAAAAAGCTCAGCTCTGAAGTAGAACAGAAGGATAAATGTTTCAGACAGCAGTTTTCAAATCTGCACAGCAGGGTGACTAGGGACAGTAATAAAGTGTGTATCATGTTCAAAGTAAGAGTAAATTTCAAATGTCTCAGTCACAAAAAATGAAAAGCAGGACATGAATTAGCTTGACTTAATTATCCCTCTGTGTATCTATGTCGCAGCTGTACAACGTACCACATAAATGCATACAATTTTATCAAATAAACAATTAAACAAAAGATAACAGAAAACACAACAGATCTGGCTAGCTCTCCAACCAGCAGAACGGCAGAGCTTTCATTACCAGTAATGCCATTAAAAGTTAAGCCACACTGCTGTCAATGCTAGACAATATGAGAACATGACAGAAAAACAGAAGGAATAACAAAATCAAAATATTTAATAACCAACATTAATCAAGCATCTAAATACTTGTCAGATAAATACTGTGCTTAGCACTGAAAGTATGAAATAAGTAAGATGATGTTCTTTCCTTGAAAGAGCTCACTTTACTTTTTTTTTTTAGGGCAAATACATATGCAAAATAAATACAAAGTGTTAAGGAGGTGTATGCTGAGTAGAGGGGGGATAAACGGACAAGATCAAATCTACTTGGATGGTCAGCAGCCTCACAGAAGAGCTGTTTGAGTGAGAAAGTCTGTCACTGCAGGGGAGCAGTCTGAAAGCACTCTACCTGGAGGGACTAACGGTGGCATATGGTCTGGCTTATTAAAGCAAAGTTCACAGAGCTGGAGCTCTGAAGAGCTCAGGAGGGAAGCAACAGACCTAAGGTATTATGAGGGTAGGGGTGTCAAGGAAGGAAAAGTCTTTCATACTATGCTAAGGAGCCTGATTTGACCTGAAGGCAACTGCTAACAGTATGGAGAACCTTCACCTCCTACAACTAACCCAGACAGTGGAAAAAAAAAAAAAAAAAACAACCAGATTTGCTTTTTACAAAGATATCACCAGCAATAAAGTAGATGAATTTGGAGGAAATGTTAAAGGCAGGGAAAGAAATTGGCAAACTGCTGTAAATGTTCAAGTGCAGAAAAAGGAGCAGATACAAGGAAAGAAATCAGAAGAAGCAACAGAGTAACATGAAGAGTTCCATTGAAAGACCGAAAAGAAATGGGTACAGGAGAGATGGTGACAGAGAAGGCAAAAATAAATAAATAAATAAAAATAAAAAATTAACAAGTAGTAGAGCACAGCAGCCTGGGGGCAATTCAGTGTAGGGACAAAAAACCCTACATACCTCAACAACCCTGAGGGGCAAGGCAGAAGGATTTTCAAGAAAGTTTCAGGGTATCTCCTGGGATCAGTACACCTCCAGTCCTACATCTCATACCATTACATGTACAATAACTGATCATCACAATGATGACCCTAAATCATCAAGAAAAAGGTTAAATTATGTTCAGCACACTTTGTTAATTATTATGGCAGGTAAGTATGAAATAGTTTAAGATGATTTTTATCAAGAACAATAAAAAATGAAGCTTTGAGATTAAAAGATGAATTTCCACATATGCAAAACATCTACTGAATTTATTATTACATAACTAGTGCTAATAATTTTAGCAGTGCTATTAAGTACTGAATTTTTGAATGCTAGCAACTTAAATTCTGAGTCTATTTCAAGAACATTGTTCATAAGGTAACACAATGAACTTGTAATATTCGTTACTTTAAAAGGAAAACAGATTAACATATACCATGTCAGACAGAAGAGCCTTGAAATTCTGGATAGCTTCTTCTCGTTTGTGTTGCTCTCTCTCCCGATCTATTTCCTTGGTTTGTTCTGACCGAGCTTTTTGAACCTCCCTTTCCCGCTCTCGAAGGCTTGCCTCAATGCGGGCCTGCCTTTCAAGCTCCTTCTCCTTTTCTGAGTCTAAATTCTGTAAAAATAACAGCACATTAATGTCCTTATCGATTCCATCAAAGAGTTCTCACAGAATAACTAGCTTGCCAAATAGAAAATTTCACATCTAGTTTTTACCAATGTAACTCAACACTGCACCTCCTCCTCAAACTAACTGCAGATTCTTATGTTATATGAATACCGACAGAAACATTTCAAAGCACCGAAGAGCAACATAAGCCTTTCATTGAGTCAAGAGCATCGCCATCCTGCGGTGACAGCAGCACTGCGATGGTTACCTTCGCTATTTTCTCGATGTACTGCTTGAAAAGGTCCTCCCTCATGGATGAACTGTCCACGGCTTTGTACCGCGGGTCCCCTTCCACTTTATCTTTAACTTTGCTCCACCGAGACTGACTGTCCAAGTGATGGTTAGACAACAGCTCAAAGAAATCCGACTTAATCTGTTTTTTAAAACAAACAGTGGGATGGGAGGAAAATACCATGAAAACACACAAAAATGAGAATAGTAACTTTTAAAAAGCATGTACCTGGAATAGAATTAAAAGATAACAGAATTGCTCATTTATTAGAAATACAAAGCAACAAGCATATAGGCTTTCCTTTAAGATCTGTCAAATTCAAGACGAGCTAAGTTATACTTTAAAAAGAAATATTCAAATACAGAAAAAGTATTTTTTAGGTTGTATATAACTTGTTTTGAAAACCATGTTTTCCTAGGAAGTATGAATTTTCACTGGGATGTATTTTACTTTTTAGCTAAGACTCACGGATATAACCTGACAGTAAAATAGTTCAATTTCAAGATGGTAAGAATGACTTATCTTCAAAACTGTATGAATAGGGGCCGGTGCTGTGGCGCAGCAGGTTAAAAGCCCTTGTTTGAAGCGCCGGCATCCCATATGGGCGCTGGTCTAGTCCCGGCTGCTCCTCTTCCGATCCAGCTCTCTGCTATGGCCTGGGAGAGCAGTAGAGGATGGCCTGGGTCCTTGGGCCCCTGCACCTGCATGGGAGACCTGGAGGAAGCTCCTGGCTCCGGACTGGCGCAGCTCCGGCCATTACGGCTATCTGGGGAGTGAGCCAGTGGACAGAAGACCACCCCCCTCACCCCAGCTCTCCTCTCTCTGTGTAACTCTTTCAAATAAATAAGTAAATCTTTAAAAAAAAACCCTATATGAATAAAATTTCTGTTCATTAAATTAGAAGGACAACATAGAAACTGTCAAGTACAAACAGCTAGTCATTACAAACCTATACTACCAAATGTCTAAAATGAAAGTAGGGTAAAAATTTCTATTTTGGTTAAAAAATAAAAGTTTACCTCACTGTAACAATATTACAGAATTTCTATGTCTTTCATAACTAATGTTAAGTCCCAGCTGCTCCACTTCAGATCCAGCTCTCTACTATGGCCTGGGAAAGCAGTAGAGGATGGCCCAAGTGCTTAGGCCCCTACACCCAATGGGACACCTCTAAGAAGTTCCTGGCTCCTGGCTCTGGTTCAGCCCAGCTCTGGCCATTGCAGCCATTTGAGGAGCGAACCAACGGATGACAGATCTCTCTCTCTCTCTTTAACTCTGCCTTTCAAATGAATAAATCTTAAAAAAAAAAAAAAAAAACTATATTCAGATTTTCTGTTTTACAGCCATTAACATGTATTACTTTACCATTATAGAACTCAGAATACTAAGTATTTCTAGAATATTATACTTAAATGAATTATCAAGTTAGTAACATTATATCCAAGGTATTAACAATTTAATGTCAAGACATACAACTACTTAAAAACCACACTTCAATGCAGTATTTCTTATTTTTTTAAATATAAAAGGGATAAATAAGGTTAATTTGTATGCATCTTTGAAGACCTAACGTTTTAAAAGTTAATCTCTCACAGCTTTGCACTCAACACAACAGACCCTTGAGGCAGATACACTGATTTCAAAGGATTCTGACAAGAACCCTTGTCTTCCCATAGTGATTAAATATGGAATCAGTATTTAAGATATCAAAAATAAAACGAACCATTCCTTATGCCTATCCAAACTCTACTAATTCCTACCATAACCACATTTCTCCTATTAAAGAGTTCAAAGTTGGCCAGCACCGCGGCTCCCTTGGCTAATCCTCCGCCTGTGGCACCGGCACCCCAGCTGGGGTGCTGGATTCTATCCCGGTTGCTCCTCTCCCAGTCCAGCTCTGTGCTGTGGCCCGGGAAGGCAGTGGAGGATGGCCCAAGTGCTTGGGCCCTGCTGCATGGGAGGCCAGGAGGAAGTACCTGGCTCCTGGCTTCGGATCGGCGTAGTACGCTGGCCGTAGCAGCCACTTGGGGGCTGAACCAACGGAAAAAGGAAGACCTTTCTCTCTGTCTCTCTAACTGCTTGTCAAAAAAAAAAAAAGAGTTAAAAGTTGATATCCTTTCTGAACACCATTTGTAAGGTTTTAAGAGCAGAATTCCTACATCAGGAAAAATTTTAAAAGTGCCAATCAGCTGAGGAGTTCTCTAGCACTGAACTTGGCTCTTGACTTTGGATTAAGAGTCATAAACTCAGTATTACCAGTGATTAAGAAATCACTTGGTGGAAAGGGGCCATCAAAGAAGGAGGTACCTTTCCCTGAAGGGAGGAGGGAACTTCCACTTTGATTATGGCCTTGTCTAAATAGGTCGGAGTCTGTGGACTCAAGAGGCTTCCATAGCCTTGGCAGCTCATGACAAGAGCCTCGGGTGATTACCGATGTCATAAATAAGAATGTCAGTTGTTAAATCAACAACACGAGTCACTGTGCACTTGCTCCCCATGTAGGACCTATGTCCTTACTGTGTTGTACTATGAGAATTAACGGTAAAACCAATCTTCAAACAGTACTTTATACTTTGTGTGTCTGTGTGGGTGCAAACCGTTGAGACCTTTACTTTGTATAGAGTTGAACTTCCGTATATAAAGATAGTTGAATCTTAATGAAAAATTGGATGAGAGAAGGAGTAGGAGATGGGATGGTTTGCGGGTGGGAGGGTGGTTATGAGGGGAAAAACCGCTATAATCCAAAAGTTGTACTTGATGTAGTGATGCAATGTAATTTTTCTGTTCATCTTATCTACTCTGTATCTGATAAAATAAACACCAAAATTCCTAATGCATCTGATAATTAGAAGGCAACACACAAGAAAATTATATTAAGCATGCAATCTGTACCAAATGGGAATTTTTCTAAGCCATGGGAATTTATATTAACTTAAGTGTGTTTACATATTGGACAATAAACTTATAAAAGATTACTATACAGTTTTTATAAGCTTTACCTTCCTTTCATTGTAGATATTGCTGTAACACACTAATGGATTACCAAAGTTGTGTATAAGAGTATTATTTGACAGCTATGTAAATGTCAAATATAATTTGCTGTCAGCTGCAATTCAAGGACTTAACCTCCCTGTTTTCTTTTTTCACTATAACAAAAACATTTAATTTCTTCAACAGGAAATTTGAAAGAAAGAAAACACCAACTTCACTACACAGGGTTAAATACAGTATGTGCAATGGTAAAGGTGCTTTTCCAAAAGGTAAATTAGCTGAAGCAGAATTTTTCAAAAACCATTAACACATACATAACAATAAAATAAACAATAATTCAAGGACAGCTGTTTTGGCAAACAAAATAAAAACAATCTAGTAGGACTAAGCAGGCTTTTTAAGTGTACTTTTTATAAAATGGAAAACTATAGAAAAATGGCTGTAGTCTTTAGTTTGAAAATGCTACTTAACAAACCAGATTTTACGAGAGCATTGTTCATTACAAGTTTTTGATTCAGCCAGTACAGTGTTTAAACCTTTACTGTTCAGCTGCTGACTTCAGTGTTGAGATAATTCAGTCAAGAACAAGGAAAGGAAGTACAGTACCATGTTACTGGTTCTGGTCTTACTATATAATTACATAGTTATAATGTGATTAAATGAACACGCACACACACAATAATATATTTCTTCACAGTAATATAAGCAATACAGTGGAAATCAAGAAAGCAATAAAATTTCATTAACCAAACACTTCTTAGAATGTGAATATAAAGTCTACTAAAACCTTATTTACTTTAAAAACTTCTGCTTTGAGGGGCTAATTAGCAATTGATTTTGTGTTGTTTAAACTGGCTGACAAAGTTTCAGTTTAGCAATTTCTTTTATTTAGTAATGCTACAAAGCTAAGCCTACAATTAAAATTTCACAATCAATATAAAATAAAGACAAATATATTATGCATATTTAGATGGCATGTCTATTTGATTTTTCTTATAATTAACAGATCCTGTGTACAATTCTCATTAGTTCATAAGGAAAAACCCTGAGAGTACTGTGGGATGCTAAAGTCAGCACAGAGATAACAATTTTTTCCTCACTAGGGAATCCCATAATATTCTGCATGTCAGTGATTGACAGCAGTCAATCTGAAATGATTGACAGGCCGTACAACTCAAAACTGTGAAATCTATCCTCTTGTTATAAAATAGATTACATAAAAGCTATCAAGTGTTTAAAAAAAGAAAATTAATTATAAAAACAGAAATATATTATATTTGTATAAAAACAATCATATAATATCAATTATTTATTTACTTGGTTTACTTTTATCAGATTACTCTTAAAATGTAAATTAGCAAATAATTTGTCAATATCATTCTAGCTCAACATGTATTAAGCTGTTTCGCCTAATGCTGTCATTGTTGTAAACAAAAGAGGCTTCTTCCCAATAAGAGCAATACTACCTCTTTAACAACATTCCCTAATAGGATTTGTTATAATATAACTTTTACAGAATAAGTGGCAATTTTAAATGTCAAGAATGGTTAGGCCCCAGAGGTTCTTTTTCTCCATTCACCAAGTCATAAGGAGAATGACTACATGTTTTGATGGTTCATGCACCACTGGTGCCAATTCCCTAACAGTCTGCCTGCCTTCTCAGTGGTGAGCTTCTCTCCACTCCTGACACTGCTAACAAATGACATTTGGGATTCATTAATCTTTCATAGCTGACCTTTAGTTGTGATAAGCAATTAACTTATATTTAAGATATGTTTATCCCATGATTAGAATCCACTAAAATGCTATTTTCTAGAGGGCAGAAAAAAATATAAAAATGCTCTTTGAAATTCAAATGTTACCACCTATAAAGAATCTTCAAATCTTAGCAAGCACTTAGCAGGCGCCACTGAGCAGGCAGCCCTAATAAGCTATTTCAGGCTTACCATGCATTTCTGCATGAATAAAATTTAAAGCAAATCCTTACAGTTTAGTAAAGCTACTAAAATAAGCATTATGGAAGTAAAGTGATAGAATACATATAATTATTAAAGTTATCTTAAAAAAAAGTAAATGTAGATTCTCTTATACATTCTAACAAATGAGATGAGCAACACAGCACTACATTGGTCCTTTCTCATTCCCATCAATCTTACCAATGGAACTAAAAATCATCTTACCTTCTCACCTCTGGTCTTCGAATCTTCTTTCTCCTTCTTCCTTGCTGCTGCCACAAATTCATTAAACAAGGCTTCTCTATCTTTCATCTTTTCAATTGCTTTGAATCTTGAATCTTTAGCATGTTTGGCTGCGAATTCACTAAAAGTAGCTCTGCAACAAAATGTAAGTGTGCTAATTTTGAAAGAGCTATTTCTTTCTTTGGTATATTTTGTTTAAGGTATACAAACTTCATGCATTTTATATATACAAATTAAAGAACATTGCAATTCTTCCCATCTGCATTCCAATCCCTCTTCCTCCTCTGTTCCCACTCTTAATTTTTACAAAGATCTATTTTTCAGTTTACCTTATATTCTTTTTTTTTTTTTTGACAGGCAGAGTGGACAGTGAGAGAGAGAGACAGAGAGAAAGGTCTTCCTTTGCCGTTGGTTCACCCTCCAATGGCCGCCGCTGCAGCCGGCGCACCGCGCTGATCCGATGGCAGGAGCCAGGAGCCAGGTGCTTTTCCTGGTCTCCCATGGGGTGCAGGGCCCAAGCACCTGGGCCATCCTCCACTGCACTCCCTGGCCACAGCAGAGGGCTGGCCTGGAAGAGGGGCAACTGGGACAGAATCCAGCGCCCCAACTGGGACTAGAACCCGGTGTGCCGGCGCCGCAAGGTGGAGGATTAGCCTATTGAGCCACGGCGCCGGCTCGAGTTTCCCTTATATTCTTAAGATTTACCCTGTAGTAAGTAGAGTTCAACAAATAGTATGAAGAAAAAAAAAAGCCACTGTTCCTCAACAGTAGAGACAAGGATTGTAAATAATCATCAAATCTCAAAATGTCAATTTCACCCCTGTACATTACATGGTAGAGCTATTTCTGCCTGCAGTAAAACACAGCAGAAGACAGCATTTTTCCTAGTAAAAAATATATGCCAGAGACACTGAGCAAATGTGCCTCAAGAGTGCACTATGAGCTACAGAAAGGAGTAAAAAAATACTAAATGTGAAAATGCAGTCAGTATGTTACCAGCATAAAATTAGAGGGATATACACTTATTACATATTTATAAAAATATAACAAATATACATATACACACACATATAACACATATGTATATGTGTTATATATTGTGTATATTTTATACATGGATATTACATATCTAGTAAGTATGTATATATTACACATATATACACACACATCAGAGATTTAAAGAATCTGTATGCTTTAAGAGTTAAAAGCTCATCTATTTCCACCCTATTTGGATTGAACAGGATTTGCCTCCCCACTCCAAATCCATGCAGATTTTTAAATTCAAAGTCTAATGTCAATGGTTAATGAATTAAAGGTAGAGACTTGAGCTAATTATGGCATGCAGGAATTGGTCCTAGCAGAAGGTCTTGAGGTCACTGAGAGCCTGCCCTTGGAGGGTGGTTCTTAATAGAGAGTTGGCCATAAGCAGAGCAGGCTAGCTTTCTCTCTGCTTCCTGCTTTGCCACATGTTCACTCCTCAGCCATCCACTGATCTTACCAGATGCTTGAACTATTGGGGCCATTCTCTCTTGGCTATGAAACTTAAAACTGTAAATCTAAGTAAACACTCTTCCTTTCTCAGAAGCTCTTCTCAGCCATTTTAGTTAAGGTCCGAACAACTCACTAAACATACCCTAAAAGGAAGGTGAGCCCTGCTGAGCTCTCATTGGATTAGCTCTCTTTCTATCAACAGCTATAAAATTACACAGGTGAGGCAGCCAGTTTCAACCAGGAGACAACAAATAGATCATGAATGAGGTGCCTGCAAGTTGGAAATCAATGAGGAAAGCCCTATGTCCCAGACCTTGGGTAGAACTTCCAAGATGCAGACAGCTGGAGTGCATACAGTAGGGCACAGCTGTCCCAATGAGTTGCAAGCAGTAAAGATCAGAGCTTGGGTACTAAGATAGCAGGGGGCAACCGTAAGAACAAGGTGCCACAGAAGAATTCCATTAAGGTATTTCCCCATGAGTCCACAGCCACGAGCAGAAAAACACCATTTCCTATACCAGGCTGTCATAGGCTAAGAGCAAAAGGAGGGGCTGATGATGTGGTGCTGTAGGTTAATCCTCCACCTGGGGTGCCAGTATCCCATATGGAGGCTGGTTCCAGTTCCAGCTGCTCTTTTTCCAGTCCAGCTCTCTGCTATGGCCTGCAAAAGTAGAAGATGGCCCAGGTGCTTGGGCCGCTGCATCTGCGTGGAAGAACCAGAAGTTCTTGGCTTCTGGATTCAGATTGGTGCAGCTCTGGCTGTTGCAGCCTTTTGGGGAGTGAACCAGTGGATCAAAGACCTCTCTGTCTCTCCCTCCCACTGTCTGTAACTCTGCATCTCAAATAAATAAATAAAACCTTAAAAAGAAAAAGCAAAAGGAGATAAAAGATCCGTGGTGCTTAAGGAAGAACAGCACTTGGCCAACCGAGTCCACTTAAGATCCACAAAAAAGAGTTGTGGAGTTGAAAAAACAATTCCACCTTCAGAGAATCACAAGAAAAGTATGAAAACGATGCCTAAAATTAAGATAGCAGACAACAATTGAACTGCTTTCTGAAATAAAAACCCTCATTCTTCAGAAGATAATAAGATGCTACAGTCTGTACATATTACCCACATGATGAATTTCAATTGAAAATCACTACCTATACAAAGAAATATGTGATTTACAGCAGAAAAAAATTTAAAAACCCATAGAAAGCTATTATAAGGCACTAGTATAGTGCAGGTTGGGGTGCCTAAGATCAAGTCCTGCCTTTTGATTCTGCTTCCTGTTTGGACAGTCATGAACCCTGGGTTCCCACATACCTTGGATTAAACTTTGCTTCCTCCATCATTTTTTTGAAATCTTCCTTGGCTTGCATTATTTTGTTTTTCTTTTCTCTGCGTTCTTCTTCTGCCCTGGTCTTTACATACTGATCAAACACCTATCACAAAAATATACCAGTTAGACAATTCTTTCACAGAGGTAATTTAACTACCAAAAATGTCTTTATTCAGACTATAACAGGAAAAATGTACTAATTATATGCAAATTACTTATAGTAGGTCTCACTTTAAAACTCACTGAAGTGTTACACAAATGTACAACCTTATTCTTGTGTTTCCAGAAAAGAACAAAAGCTAAAACCCTTTATTATTATTTTCTGATTACAAAATACTGAATTATGATCCATTTTAAGCAATTTAGAAATGTGCAAGACAAATTAGTCCTTTCAAATCCATTCTTGTCAGAAAAAAAAGGTATAGGATCTACAGGTTTTTTCTTGGTGTAATTATTTTTACCAAAATATAATCATGCTTTACACGTATAATATTTTCCCTCACTTAAAAACATAGTGGTTAAGATGATGAAATGAATATTTACTGCCTCTCCCCCTTTTTAGCCTTATTTAATTGATAGTGGGGAACCTCTTTTATTTTTTAAAGTCATAAAGTAACAAGGACAAGGAAATGAGAAAAAGAGAAATAGCAACTTGGATACTTGAAAGCAGACGCAAAAGTGGTACAGCTTAGGACACATGTGACAAAGCTGAACATGACCCAGTATTCAAGAAAACAAGAAAAAAACCTTTTTGAACCAAAGAATCCTCAAAGAGCTTAGAACTGATGGAACCAGAGACCACGAAATTAAGGGTGGGGTTTGGCTACACTAACAAATGACTGATGAAAGTCTACCTAACAACTATTTACTTCCTACCTAGACCCCATCAGCCATTTTGTTTCTGGTCATTGTCATTCCTAGATCCCAGTAGCTATTCTCCAGAGTAAAGCACTGGCAAACCTAGGACAGAAAGTTGTTTTTACACAGATCAAGAATAGTTTTTAGGGGCCGGCGCTGTGGCGCAGTGAGTTAAAGTCCTGGCCTGAAGCACCGGCATCCCATATGGGCGCTGGTTCAAGTCCCGGCTGCTCCTCTTCCGATCCACCTCTTTGCTATGGTCCTGGGATAGCAGTAGAGGATGGCCTGGGTCCTTGGGCCCCACACCCACATGGGAGACCAGAAGAGGCTCCTGGCTTCGGATCGGCGCAGCTCCAGCCATTGCAGCCATCTGGGGAGTGAACCAGCAGATGGAGGACCTCTCTCTGTGTCTCTGCCTCTCTCTGTAACTCTTTCAAATAAATAAAATAAATATTTTTTAAAAGTTTAAAAAAAAAGACTATTTTTTATATTTTAAAAGCACTGTAAAAAAATGGTGCGAATTTCATGATGCATGCAAACTAAATATAATTTTGGGGGCCGGCTCTGAGGTGCAGCAGGCTCAAGTGCCATCAGCAGCACCAGCATCCCAAATAGTTGTCGGCTGAAGTCCTGGTTGGTTTACTTTCCATTCAGCTCCCTGCTAGTGTACCTGAGAAAGCAATTGAGACACAATTCTTTCAAAGCCAAAGCCCAAGACCGCTTTCCAGCAATGAGACCATGGATCCTTTATAGGAAATCTGACCAGCCTAAAAAATACCGGCTCCAACGTATTCTCAAGAATCCAGCCTGGGCCGGCACCGCGGCTCACTAGGCTAATCCTCCACCTGCAGCACTGGCACCCGGGTTCTAGTCCCGGTCGGGGCGCCGGATTCTGTCCTGGTTGCCCCTCTTCCAGGCCAGCTCTCTGCTATGGCCCGGGAATGCAGTGGAGGATGGCCCAAGTACTTGGGCCCTGCACCCCATGGGAGACCAGGAGAAGCACTTGGCTCCTGCCTTCTTCGGATCAGCGCAGTGCGCCGGCGGCAGCGGCCATTGGAGGGTGAACCAACAGAAAAAGGAAGACCTTCTTTCTCTCTGTCTCTCTCACTGTCCACTCTGCCTGTCAAAAAAAAAAAAAAAAAAAAAAAAGGATCCAGCCTTAATTATTCCAAGGTGAGTCTCTCAACCTTGGCAATACTGGCATTTCAGACCAGATCTTTAAAAGTGAAGTATCCTTGGCCCTCTATCCACCAAATCCCAGCAATACCTCTTCACTAAGAAATATCTCCTGAGGCCAAAACTGCTTATGACTGAGAACTAGCTGTTGCATCAAAACTCAAAATCAGAATTTTATGGCTTCATTTCCAGTCATGAGTAGTCAAGGCCTACAAGACAGCTAAGGAAATTCTCCAACGTGAAAAGTAGAGCCAGCCCTAAACAGAAAAAAAAGCTTAGTGACATCAGAGACCAAAGCCAGAAAGGGAAAATTAAAAAGACAATTAAAAAAAATCCTCAATAACCTTATAGCACTAAGAAACTGTAACCATAAATTAAGAAAAACTTGAAAATGTAACTCTAATTTAAATGATGAGAAAAGAAATAAAAATCTAATTGAAACTTTCAGGATTGACAACCAAGATGAAAAACATAAAAAGTTGGAAACACGTTTTAAAAACTGATGCCAAACAATCTCCCGGGACTGAAAGATGAGTTCACAGGCTCAAGCACCACCACATGCCTTGCACAGTGTACCCTTCCACCATGTCACCATAACCTGTCAGAACAGCAAGGATTAAGAGATGACTGATACGGTGCAAAGAAGGAAAAACAGACTTATCACACACACAAAAACAAGCATCACACAAGCCACAAAAACAACACTGAAAAGCAGCAGCAGAACAATGCCTTCAAAACCCTGAAGTGGGGCTGGCACTGGGGTACGGCAGGTAAAGCCGCACTGGTATTCCATATGGGCACCAGTCTGAGTTCAAGCTGTTCCACTTCTGGTCCAGCTCCCTGCTAATGTGCCCAGGGAAAGCAGTAGAGGATGGCCCAAGCAGGAAACCAGGAAAAAGCTCCTGGGTTCTGGCTTTGGACCAGTCTAGCTCCGGCCATTGTGGTCATTTGGGGAGTGAACCAGAGGATGGATTCCCCCCCACCCCCAACTCTCTCTAACTCTGCCTTTCAAATAAATAAATATTAAAAAAAAAAAAAAAAGAAGGAAAAAATCTTCGAACTCCCAATTTGTTAGTCAGTGGAACAACTGCAAGTAACAGTGCTATACAAGTTATTTCAGGGGCCAGTGTTGTGGCATGCTGCCTGTGACGCTGGCATCCCGTGTGGGAACTGGTTCGTGCTCGGAATGCTCTGCTTTCGGATCCAGCTCCTTGCTAATGCACCTGAGAAAGAAGTGGAAGACGGCCCAAGTATGTGGGCCCCTGCTACCTACAAGAGACCTGGAAGAAGCTCCTGGCTCTGGCCTGGCCCAGCCCTAGCAACGGTATCATCTGGGAATGAACCAATGGATAGACGATCTCCCTCTCTCACTCTTCTCTCTGTAACTCTGACTTTCAAATAAATAAATCTTTAAAAAAAAAAAAAAGAAGCTTTTTCAAATGTGTAAATCTTTAAAATATTAATACCATGTGTTCCCTCAAGAAGCTAGAAGGATGGAACACAGCAAAATGAGTGAAACAATAAATACTTACAAAGTACAGAACAGGTGAGCCCCTCACCCCCAGCTCAAAGAGATGAAGGAAATTGTCAGGAAAGAGCCGCACATCACGTGCAGTGTGCAAATCATTTGGACTGATGCCAGTCAGGAGTTTCTGGGAGAAATGTTTCACCAAGGTAAAGAACCAGGGCAGCACCCTATTACTTTTCCAAACATATAGAACTATTTGGCTCTTTAAATATGTGCATGAGCATCTTTCTAAAAAGTTTAAAAAAATTATTTTCTTTCTAATACCTTAGACATCTTTCCTGGCCAATCCATATACAGTGTGTTTGTGTTCGTACATATACATATGTTTATATACTGTATCCACCAATCCTTAAAAGATGTACAGAAGTATCTACAATTACCCACCAATCTCCTGCTAAACACATATGCCATTCTATATACCTTCAAATACAGCATTGCAATAAATCATGTGAAATTATTTAGGCTAGAGGGAAGGAAAAAAAAAAGAACATAACTACAATATAACTTCCTTTAATGAAGCTAGGAAACTTTCGATCCTGGGGCCTTCACTGTGGGGTAGCGGGTAAAGCCGCTGCCTGCCGTGCTGGCATCCCACATGGGCACCAGTTCGAGTCCGAGCTGTTCCACTTTTGATCCAGTTCTCTGCTATGGCCTGGGGAAGCAGGAGAAGATGACCCAAGTCCTTGGGCCCCTGCACCACATGGTAGAACCAGGAAGAAGCTCCTGACTCCTGGTCTCAGGTTGGCACAACTCCAGCCCGTTGTGGCTATCTGGGGAGTGAGCCAGTGGATGGAAGACTGTTCTCTCTCTGCTTCTGCCTCTGCCTCTCTGTAACTCTTTCAAGTAAACAAAGAATATCTTTTTTTTTTTTTGACAGGCAGAGTTAGACAGTGAGAGAAAGACAGAGAGAAAGGTCTTCCTTTTCTGTTGGTTCACTTCCCAAATGGCCGCTATGGCTGGCGCTGCACCGATCTGAAGCCAGGAGCCAGGTGCTTCCTCCTGGTCTCCCATGTGGGTGCAGGACTCAAGCACTTGGGCCATCCTCCATTGCCTTCCGGGGCCACAACAGAGAGCTGGCCTGCAAGAGGGGCAACCGGGACAGAATCCGGAACCCTGACCAGGACTAGAACCTGGGGTGCCGGCGCCACAGGCAGAGGATTAGCCTAGTGAGCCGTGGTGCCAGCCAAACAAATAAAATCTTAAAAGCAAAAACAGAAACAAAACTTTTGATCCCCTCTGCTGAGATCTCATCAGAGATCCATCATCAGGAATCATTTCTCGAGAGGAGCATCTCACAGAAAATTAGGACTTGAGTTATGCTTCCAAGGGTCTCATTATTTGAGTCCTGCTTCCCTATATACTTGGCTTTACATTCTTAATTGTAACTTCACCTCATAAACAAGACGCTAGATTAAATACTATGAAAGCAGGTAGGTTTAAATAACTCCTAGCTCATTTTTACAGGCATAAGTAAAAACACATACATATTAAAGGGTCACAGTCTAGGCATTCCAGTCAGCTCTGTGCTGGGCACAGTGTTACATTTCTTCATTCAGGTCATGGTGGACAAACTATTCTGAAAAGTGCTACTTGGATATTTATAACATCATGCACAGGCCATCAAAAATTATCAACTTAATAATTAGCCTGCTATAGATTTACTGAATTTCAAATCACGCTTGTAGTTGCCTTAGCAGAGTCAGACCAAATGATTTGAGGGCCTTATATGACGTTCCCCAACCCTAATCTTGGAAATTATAAGCAATCAAAAAACTATGTATGAATTTTTAAATACTGTTTGTACCAAAATAAACCAAAAAATAATTCCAATTTTTTCCAGCTTTTTGAAATGCCTTCAATTTACGGCCTGCTAATTCTGTGTGAAATTTCACTTAATATTCACGTCAGTAATATACTGCCATGCTGTACCACTATCAATGTTAAAAAGCTCAGATAAACATACAGTGTATTTTAAAAAATCTATTTGGAAATATCAGACAACTTATTTTAAGGTGTCTGCATAGGCTGGTGCCGCGGCTTAATAAGCTAATCCTCCGCCTGCGGCGCCGGCACACCGGGTTCTAGTCCTGGTCGGGGCGCCGGATTCTGTCCCGGTTGCTCCTCTTCCAGTCCAGCTCTCTGCTCTGGCCCGGGAGTGCAGTAGAGGATGGCCCAAGTGCTTCGGCTCTGCACCCGCATGGGAGACCAGGAGAAGCACCTGGCTCCTGGCTTTGGATCAGCGCGGTGCGCCGGCCACGGCAGCCATTGGAGGGTGAACCAACGGCAAAGGAAGACCTTTCTCTCTGTCTCTCTCTCTCACTGTCCACTCTGCCTGTCAAAAAAAAAAAAAGGTGTCTGCATAACTACTACCTTCATCAGAGCTCAACATCCTGAACGGAAATGGCCTGATCTGAAAAATGTCAAATGAAAAACAATTTGACCTTAAAAATTTCTCATAATAAAAACATTTCTGATTCTGTAACATTTTATCAAAGATAAGATTAAATAAGGAAAATCATAAGGCAAAATAAATCACGTATTTAAAAAATATACAAACATCAAATGTTAATTTTTCATTCTTTTAAAAAAACTTCACTTCAAAGACACAAAAACCTAAGAGTTTTAATTTAAAATAAACTAATATTACTTTTCTCTTAAATGTTAACTCTATTGAGGAGATGTTAAGTATTAGCCTACAGAATGTTTGCAAAACTGAAGAACTTCAGTTCTCAATATATTTTATTTATGATTTCACTCAAACACAAACTGTAACACTGAGTACCAGGAAAAATAAGTCATGAAAGTTTTAAAATAAATCTTCAAGGACATTTTGCTTAGGCATATTCAGATACTACATGTACAGCCATAAAGAATGCAAAGTTCCTACTCTCAATTTATGCTCTGTGGTAGGAAAACAGATCATCAACACAGTAACAGTAGATAATTAGAGATACGTGTGCTATGCAGAGTAAAGAAAGTAAAGGGGCCAGTGCTATGGAGTAATAGTTAAAGCTGCCACCTGCAGTGTCAGCATTCTGTATGGGCACCGGTTCTAGTCCCAGCTGCTTCACTTCCAATCCAGCTCTCTGCTACAACCTCAGAATGCAGCAGAAGATGGCCCAAGTCATTATGCCCCTCACGTAGGAAGACCCGGAGGAACCTCCTGGCTTCAGATCGGCCCAGCTCTGTCAGTTGCAACCAATTGGGGAGTGAACGAGCGGATGGAAGACCTCTCTCTCTCTACCTCTCCTTCTCTATTTGTGTAACTATGACTTTCAAATAAATAAATAAATAAATAAGTCTTAAAAAAAAAAAAGGAAGGAAGGCAAAGATATAGTATTTAGATACCAGAGGGAAGAGCAAACACCAGAACGCGTCTGGCTAAAAAAGATCAAGGCCACTGTGGTTACAATGAAGGAACACAGGACAAAACTTCACAAGTCAACAGGAATGAGTTTATGTAGAACATCATAGGCTAAGAAAAAAGCTTTCAATTTTATCCTAAATGAAATGAGAAACACTAGACTCTTTTTAAGTAAGGGAACACTGACCCAATTTGACCTCAAACTTTAAAATTAGTCTGGCTGCTGTGTGGAAAAAGAAATTGGCTATAGAGGACCAAGAAGGAATGAAAGAGAAATCAAAGAGGGACTGCAGAGATAATCAGAGCCGATCTGGTGCCTTGGATCAGCGTGTTAGTGTAGGAAAGGATGAATAAGTTAGATAAAAAAAAATTTTTGGCGGTAGATTGGCTAACAGACTGAAAATAAGGAAATAATCAAAGATCATTTACAGGTTCTGACAGGTCCATCAATTGAGATGAAAATCACACTATCAATGCAGTTTTTCATAAAGGCTACAAAGCTTGAAATGAAGTCATGAATACATTTGGAAAGTCATGCCTTTCTATTACAGGTACTAAACCACATCTGGCACTCTAAATTTTTTCTTCACTGAAATCCATGATTAGGGACCAGCACTGTGGTATGGCAGGTAAAGCCACTGCCTTCAACACCAGCATGCCATATAGGATCCAGAGCTACTCCATTTCCAATTTAGTTGCCAGCTAATGGCCTAGGAAAAGCAGTGGAAGGTGATCCAAGTATTTGGACCCTGCACCGACATGGGAAACCCAAATGAAGCTCCTGGATTCCGCCTGTGTGTGTAGTGCGAGACTTAAATATGTACCTTTGAGTATTAAAAATCAACAATGAGAACACATATGTACCTATGGGCACTTAAAATCCAAGGTGGCTATAAACCAGATTCTTCAATGATGGTCTTATCTGTTTGGCAGAATTTCAGATGAGGTTTTTGCTTTTTGTATTTTGCTATTTTTCTACTCAAATTTGTATCATTTGCCCTATAAAAAGCAACTTACTGCATGTAGTTGAATAAATTAAAAAAACAATCTTACATGTAACCTCACTGTGTAACAGGCATTAACGACAATATGTTCAAGCAACAGCAGCCGAGTCCATATGGCAAGAACATCAAAATATATCTTAGGAAGAAACCTCTAAACACAAACACATACATGATCATGTGCTAAGATGCAAGATGGTTTTTGAAGTACTGTGTTAGGAAAAAAAAAAGGACTGGTACTTTATTCCTTACAATTTAAAAATTATGTTGGCAAAGGATATACATTTCTTAAATAATGGTATTTTCCTTTTACCTGTTTTCTCTCTTTAGGATTGAGAAGTAAATACCGAGGATCAAAAACTATCTTATGCAACTCCTTCTCCCACGTTGAAAAGGCAGACACCTTTAAAATAAAAAATGTATTGCCTCATAATTAAGTTTGCTCTCAAAACATAAAGGTCATAATTTTACTTGAAATCTACAGGACATCTGTTTTATAAAGGAGACATAAAAACCATACTGAAGTTTCCATCACTAATAAATGACAACCAGTGGGAGGCTAGCAATAGCAAATTTCCACACTAATTGGCTCTGAACATTTCTGTATTATATAGAAATAACACGCATTTAATTACTCATTAAAATAACCACTACTGTGTGACATTTTAAAATCACAACATCAGAAAAAGCCTTGGAAAATCTGCATTTTGATTTCCCATGCTTGATCAAATCTCGTGAACAATGCTGTAATTTAAAACTGCACAATTTTAATTATTTCAATCTGTGAATATATCTAAAAAGCTGAAATTCCTTTGCTATTAAGCCTCTAACAACTATAACTTAAACCATCAGTTCTCCTTTAACCAAAATCCATTCTGAAGATATAAAAGCAAGAATCATATATACCTTACCTATTCCAAGGAGTCCGCCATTCTGCAATGTTAATACTCGTCTTATATTACTCACCAAAATTTACTGACTCAACAAATGTTAAATAGGTATTTGTACTTAAAAGGATAGTGAAATGATGTTTAGTTAAATATGATTTGAATTAGTCGAAAAAAAGGCTGTTGCAAATATAGTACGGTAATCTGACAGTAAGGGATACATCCCTTATCCCCCCCCATAACATGAGCACTAACCTTAGATGTGACCTTTTAGCAAGACATATTTATATTACTTATACAAAACAGAAATATCTCCCCCAAAGATTGTTTTCTGACCCCTCTCTCTAGCAGCATGTCCTTGAACTGCTTCATTCGGGCCTCCAGAGGGACAATGGCCCTTTCTCGGGCAGCTTTAATTTCAGCTTCCATGGCAGCTTCTTTCTCTGAATCAATGTCTTTATTATCATCTCTCCTATAAAAGATAAAACATAGGGCATCAACTGACAAAATACTAAGAACAAATCTTACTAACAATCTTAAAATCAATGGAATTTTCAAGACTCACTACTGAGCAGCATATTTTTGGCAAAAACAAATTATACTGAGGATTTCAAATGAACTCTATGGGGTAAACAACTTTCATCATCATAATCATAAAATTACAATTAGTTTCTAATGATGTTACAATGGCGACATCGATAGAGAAACTATATACCTTTAACGTGCTATGTCTCCCTGACACTAGTTGATAGACAAAGTGAACTATCTTACTAAAAGAAAAAAAAAATTTATCTAGCATTGCAGTAAAACTATGTGTTAAAATTAAACAGTATAGAATAATTTTTAGTTCTTGAAATGATATAGAAAAAAATGGTATTTTCCAAAATGTTTTACATTAGAAACACATAAAATATTTTTAAAATCTAATAAAAATTGGTATTAAGTCTAAATAATCTAAAACATTTAATCTGAAAATAAAATTCAAATAATCGCAAATTTGGCCAAGGGGATATGTGAGATATATACCTTACCTACCTGACATTTTTATTACTCACTTTCTGGGTGGTAAGTTGAGATTTAAGTTGAAGGACAGGTCCCAGAGAGCAACATGGGCCCAGGAGTAGTTAGGTGGAATTAGAACTGTTCATCAATGACTAAGCTACTTCTTGTTTCTCCAAAAATGCACTTTAGGGCTTAGAGCAACTCTGTTGCAGTGTGGTACTCCAGTGAGATTGCATGAAATCATGTCACCTCTCAAATATATACACTATAAAAAAGGCCCGTTCATGAAAAGATCCAAAATATTAATATTTGAGTGTATTTTAGCAGATCTTCCTTCTTAAATATAATCTGCCAAGTATACGGTATTGATAAAATTGGTTTATATTCCCTACACAAACTTAAGGGAATTAGGAAAAAAGGACATTTGGAAATTTTAAAAGTATGCTATATAGGGTACTGTAGGTAGCCCAAAATTTTAAATAAAACTAAGGCTAACCCACAAATATGAGAGGTAATTAGCAACTTAGGGAACGAATCAAAAGAAATAGAAGACATAGTCCGTGACCTGCAGGAACTTAGCGAGATAGTCTGTGACCTAAGATATGCACAAAACAAACAGGTAAAAGCAGTTTGCCAAACAATATACCCTCTTATCATAATTTATTTAAGAACTATTTAAATAAAGAGTTAAAAGACATCCAAGAAATATAACTAATGAAAATAAATAACCTTTACAGAATTATACTAAATGAAAATGTCACAATACAAACTATCACTATCTATCTCAATAAAAGAAATAAAAGAAAAACTAAGCCAGGAAAAAATAGGCTTTTAGCTTTGTACCTAAATAGAGAAGCTCGGGCAATCCACATAAAGGACTTCTTTGACATTCTCCTGATAAAAGCAGTTAAAAACCTTACAGAGTTGTCTATAAGAACAAACAATTAAAAACAACCTAAAAGTTTAACATTGTAGGAACATCCAAAATTACGGTACATAAACAGAATGAATACAGTCATGTAATTAAGAAAACAAAGTCTGATTCTAGAATTTTTAAAAAAGAACAAAAAGTTGGTTATTCACAACTAATAAAAATTATACATTTGGTCAAGAACTAAAAAGTCAATTGCAAAAATGAGAATAGCTGTGTTAAGGTGATAGATTATGGGTGATTCTCTTAAATATTTTAGTTTCTTTAACATTGTTGTCAATATGCAAATTTTTTAAAAAGAACCACCCTTGATAGGGGTTGTTGTACTGATTTCCTTGCCATAATTTGGCTGCATTCAATCTGTCCTTTTCATAAGGACTAAGAGTAACTAGTCCCTAATGACTCAAACTTTCCTTTTTGCTGCTAAATAATGGTCCCATTTCCCCCCTCCCCCACCTCCACACCCTCTACCCCATCCTTCCACCCTCCCCGATTAGTAACATTCACATTTCACCCATTCCTAGCGTACTGACCCAACTCATTCTTTCATTTTTAGCAGTCCTTCTCTCAGAGCACCTTCTAAGCTCACAAATGCACACCTTAGGAAGTGGTAATGACTACAGACTCATGAACTAGCTAAGTCACAAAGAGACAAGTCTGTGTCTGTTTGTATGAGATTGCTGGAGCAGTGTCTATTGGCATCCATATTAGGAAGAAAACTTATTTTTCATAAAATTCAGACCTAATGAATTTGTGAAAAGAATTAATTCCTAAACTGTCATTTGGCTTTCTGATACATATTTGAATAACCAAATCTTTTACACATCTAGCAACAGAAGAATTTTAAAACATTTTAAAATAAAGCTATATTTAACATCAGGCCTAAAAGAGCAACCATGAAATCTCTCTCCTAATAACATATACAGTACTTATCTCCCTAACGAAAAACTGATTATGACCTAATCAACTTTTTAGATGTAATATCTACCTGGAATCACACAAATTATATGCATCACTTACTTCCGTTTTTTTGCTTTAACAGGCTCATCTTCATTAATTTCTTCCATTAATTCTTGCTCTTCCTTAACTGTAAGACAATTTAATCAAACATAGTCTTTATAAAAATAAGCAAGCAATTCTCATATTAATAAGCCATGAATCCCACAGCTAATCACTATCAAAATACTTGCTTCCACAGGATTAAAAAAGGCTGCAATTTTATAGTTCACTTACTTGCATTCATAGAGAACTGCCACTTTTGGATGGACAGCATTGTTGGGGTCGGGTGTCCTGGTAAAAACATTTCAAATACTGTTACGAATAGCTGTACATACACACTTCAGAATCTTTTCTTTCAAAAAATTACTGCTTATATAAAATATCTAACTCTCAATATTCACTTTTATAAAGCATTAATTTCATTCTTTATTCCCCTACCTGCCTTCCCCCTTTTACATCAACATTTTCAAATCATTTTGAAGTGGTTCTTGTCCAAACCTTAAACTTGGAAATACACAAAACTTTCTTGATTTAGGATTTATAGATTCTTTTAATGATGCATGCTAATGTGTTGATCAAATAAATCAAAGATTTTAAAACAGACTCACAAAAGACAAAAGCAAATCACATTTTCTTGGCAATAATCAGTAATATGGTTCTAAAATATTAATGTCATAATTACAAAATGACTACTAATGGGGGGATGGGTGCCTAGAGCCTTCAGCACCATACAAGCAAAGTTGTAATGATTTAGAAATTACATACACGCAAAAAAATGTCAGTATCATTTCCAGGGGTCTTCAGACAATTCATAGGAAATGCACATTATCTTTTTGTTTTGTTTTTGACAGGCAGAGCTAGATAGTGAAAGAGAAAGACAGAGAGAAAGGTCTTCCTTCCATTGGTTCACCCCCCAAATGGCCGCTATGGCCGGCGCGCTGCACCGATCCGCAGCCAGGAGCCAGGTGCTTCCTCCTGGTCTCCCACGCGGGTGCAGGGCCCAAGCACTTGGGCCATCCTCCACTGCCTTCCTAGGCCACAGCAGAAAGCTGGACTGGAAGAGGGGCAACCGGGACAGAATCCGGCGCTCCAACTGGGACTAGAACCCGGGGTGCCGGCACCAAGGCGGAGGATTAGCCAAGTGAGCTGCGGCGCCGGCCTCACAATATCTTTTAATTCCAGTTTTCCACAAACTCTGTGAAGCTACCTTGTACAATCCATAATTTCTCAGTCACGATAAATGAAATGTATTAAGATTTGTTTCATTAGAACTATGAAATGACTAATCAATCAGGCTTTCATAATACATGGGGCAGGAACCCCAGATCAATCCCTTCAATACAAGGGCAAATTTTGAATGAGAAATACAGAACAAAAATTATATTCAAATATTTGCACTCAATATGCTATAATATTATTTGAACATGAAGCACATAAAAAACAACCTCTCAAAACTTAAGTGTGTCTATATTCTTAAAAGTAAGGCTTATCTAGTTCAAAAGACTAAGCTTTCATATCTTTTTTTTAAAACTTTCATATTTTTACAAAGTATTGATAAATACTAAAAAAGCACTCTGTACATATATATGCTTTGATTATTTCAGAAAATATGGTTAGCCATCAAAGTAGCTGATAGGCTCACTGAGGAGCATTTCAATAGTATTAATAACTAGCTAACAGCAACAATACAAACATCCTGAACTGATAAAATGTTGATAAAGGCAGTAAGTTAAAAATGTACATGTACTTGATAGAAAACAATCTTATCCAAATTCTCTACAGTTTTTATATTTCTATTACTGCACTCAATCCAGAATACCACTCTATTTTTAAAAAGTTTTTTAAAAAGTATCTGTTCCTCATACATTCTATCAAAATATTAAAACAATGTTGAAATTAGAGAGTGGATTCCTAACTTAGAACTTACTTAATTTCTTCATGTCTTCCATTCCTTTTTTATGAGGAGGCTCCTGAATAATTTTGTCAACATCTGCCCTTCCAATCAGATCATCAGGTCGGTCCCACATAGAAAGACGAGTGGTGGGATTATAAAAGAAGACACGCTCATCACCCGTCCAAACAACACACCTAGAAATTGATTCAAAATATAATTTTATATGTTACAGAATTTATTTTTTAGGGAACTTTTTTATTGTCAACCTGTCAAAAGGGAGGAGAGCAAGGCAGTCAGGAAGGACAAGTTATTACTAACAGTTATTCAATTTAACAGCAGCTCAAATATACTAATTGAGAAAACCAGAAAACACCAATTTGTGATCAGTCTAGAATGCTAAGGAACTTGATGTAGAGTACTGAATTTTAAAGTATCACAATCAATGAGTTTTAAGTCACCAAATAATAAAACTAAAGAACAGGGGCTGGCACTGTGGTGTAGCAGGTAAAGCTACTGTCTGAAGTGCCGGCATCCTGTATGGGCACCAGAGTTCAAGTCCCGGCTCCTCCACTTCCAATCTAGCTCTCTGTTATGGCCTGGGAAAGCAGAAGATGGCAAGTCCCTGGACTCCCACAACTGCATGGTAGACCTGGAGGAACTGCCCGGCTCCTGTCTTCAGATCAACCCAGCTCTAACTGTTGTGGCCACTTAGGGAGTGAACCAATGGGTTGAACCTGTCTCTCTCTCTCACCCTCTGTAACTCTGCCCCTCAAATAAATAAAATAAATCTTAGGAAAGAAAAAAAAAATCAAACACACTTTAAATATAAAGCCATAGATAGACTGAAAGATACACCATACAAACAGGAAGCATAAAAGGTTGTTTTTAATAATCAAACAGATTTCAAGAAAAACAGAGTTAACAGAGAACAAACAGGCTCATTTAAGTATGATAAGAGGAACAATTCTTCAGGATGATGCAACAGCTATAAAATGTGTATGAGTATATTAACAGAGCTTCAAAACAATCTAATTAGAATGGACCAAATTAGGGGTAGCTGCTTGTCCTAGCAGATAAGCCACTGGTTATGAGGTCTATATCCTATATTAGGTGGGTTCAAGTCTTACTTCAGCTCCCAATTCTAGCGTCCTGCATTCTGAGAGGCAAAAACAGCTCAAGTACTTGGGTATCTCCAGGGACACCTGAACAGCCCTATTTTATTTTTTTTTTATTTTTTTATTTTTATTTTTTTTGACAGGCAGAGTGGACAGTGAGAGAGAGAGACAGAGAGAAAGCTCTTCCTTTTGCCGTTGGTTCACCCTCCAATGGCCGCCGCTGCCAGCGCGCTGCGGCCGGCGCACCGCGCTGATCCGAAGCCACGAGCCAGGTGCTTCTCCTGGTCTCCCATTCGGGTGCAGGGCTCAAGGACTTGGGCCATCCTCCACTGCACTCACGGGCCACAGCAGAGAGCTGGCCTGGAAGAGGGGCAACCGGGACAGAATCTGGTGCCCCGACCGGGACTAGAACCCGGTGTGCCAGCGCCACAAAGCGGAGGATTAGCCTACTGAGCCACGGCGCCGGCCAGCCCTGACTATTTTAAGTATTTGGAGATGTGAACCAGCAGATGAATTATCTGTCTGTGCATCTCAAATAATTAAACAAAGCAATTAAAGAGAGAAACAATTTTACAATTATGGTAGGCTAATACCACTCTCAGCAACTCAAGGAGGAACCATACCCAAAACAGAGAATACTAAAATCAAACATATGCTAGCAAAAAACCAAGTCTAAATGAACTTAAAAGTATCAACACCATACGAAGTGAATTCTCTGACTTCAGGGAATTAAATCAATAACAAGATATTTAGAAAAATCTCAAATAATTGGAAATAAAACATGAATCAAACACAAAATCAAGAAGTAAATTTTAGGTGCTGGTGTTGTAGCTTAATGGGTTAAGCTGCCAACTGTGATGCCAGTATCCCATACAGGCACAAGTTCACGTTCCGTCTCCTGGTAACTCCACTTCTGACCCAGCTCCACATAAAGCACCTGGAAAAGCAGAAGATGCACCAAGTACTTGGGTCCCTGCCACCCATGTGGAAGGCCCAGAAGAAGCTGGTTGCTCCTAGCTTCCGCCTGCACCAATCCTGGCTGTTGAGGCCATCTGGGTACTGAACCAGTGTTGGAAGATCTCTCTCACACGAGTGCGCTCTCACTCTTTGTCTTTCCATCTCTCTAACTCTGTCAAAGAAATAAATACAATTTTTTGGGGGGGGCTGGTGTTGTGGTGGAGTGGGTAAAGCCGCCATCCGCAGTGCCAGCATCCCATATGGGCAGAGGTTTGAGTCCTGGCTACTCCACTTCTGATCCAGCTCTTTGCCATGGCCTGGGAAAGCAAAAGAAGATGGCCCAAGTCCTTGGGCCCCTGCATTTGCACGGGAGACCTGGAAGAAACTCCTGTCTCTGGCAGCCACCTGGGGAGTGAACCAGTGGATAGAAGACTTCTCCTCTACGCCCCTGTCTCTCTGTAGCCCTTTCAATTAAATAAATAAATATCTTTTTTTTTAAATGTACATTTTCTATAATCTTTACTATGTACCCTTATATGAAATTAAGAAATTCACCAACAAATTTCTTGAAAAACATAACAAAACTGAAACAAAAAATAAAAAGTCTAGGGCCAGTGCTGTGGCACAGCAGGTGAAGCCATTGCCTGCAGTGCCGGCACCCCATGTGGGAGCCAGTTTGAGTCCTCATGAGAATAGATGCAAAAATCATGCAACACAAAAAGATACCATTGCACATGTTCATTTTCAAAATGCAAAGCCATTTTAACACAACAAAATCAATGTAATTCACCGTATTAAAAGGATAAAAAATTTCAGATTTATGATTAAAAAACACTAGCAAACAAAGCAGAGAAAGCTTCTTCAAACCGATAAAAGAGGTCTATGACAAAGCTACAGCTAATGTTGTATCTGATGGTAAAGACTGAATTGTCTCCCAATGACATCAGGAAAAGGCAAGGATGTCTGCTTCTACCTCTCTTATTTAGCATTACACTAAAGACCCAAGCAATGAACAGAGGAAAAAATAATAAAAGGTATAGAAGATCATAAAAGAAGTAAAAGTGTCCCTATCTGCAGATGATGACTGCATTACATCTAGGGAAATTAAATCCAGGGAAATTTATAGATGTACTATAGTAAGTAAATTCAAGCAAAATTCTACAATAGAAATATACTATACAAAAATCAACTCTATTTTTATACACTAATAACCATAAATTTGAAAAGGAAATTTCAAAAAATATCTAAATTGCATTAGTACCAAGCAACATAATATCCAGGACTAAATATGATTTCTCTCAAGAATTCTGAGCTGTAGAGTTTGACATATGAAGCTAAAAACCTAAATAAACAAAAAGATAGGGGCCAGCACTGCGGTGCAGCGGGTTAAAGCCCTGGCTGCTCCACTTCCCATCCAGCTCTCTGCTGTGGCCTGGGAAAGCAGAAGATGGCCCAAGTCTTTGGGACCCTGCACTCGTGTGGGAGACCCGGAAGAAGGTCCTGGCTCCTGGCTACAGACTGGTGCAGCTCCGGCCGTCACGGCCAATTGAGGAGTGACCCAGTCAATGGAAGACCTCTCTACCTCTCTCTCTCCCTTTCCCCTCTCTCTGCCTTTCCTCTCTCTCTGCCTTTCCTCTGTGTAACTCTTTCAAATAAATAAATCTGTAAAAAATATATATAAAAATAAAAAGATAAATCACGCTCATGAATTGACAAAGAATATTAGAAATATCTATTCTAATTTTCTATAGATTCAATGCAATCTCGAAGTACCAATGGGCTGCATATATGTACAAGCATGCATGTAACCAGCAAAGAGAGAAACTGTGAAAACATTTCAGAATTATCAGAGAATCCTGGACACAAATCTGCCCCACACTAATAAAGTGCATGATGAAGTAAGTGTTCAGGGGTGAAGTGCAATGATGTTCACAACTTCTAATGCATCAAAGATTGATAGATGCTGGAGGAATGCATAAATGAAAAAGCAAACATGGCAAAATAATATCTGTAGAATCCAGGCAGTCAAACCATCTTTACTGCAGAAATTCTTAAAATGTTCCTCTGGTTTCAAAATCTGCTTAACAAAATACTAGGAGTAAAATATCATGGAAACCTCAAAAAAAAAAAAAAGTACGAAAGAGAAAAAGAAAACCTGTGTCACTCTCAGCAAACACAAAAATCCGCAGTCAAAGACAAATTTTGCTAAGTTACGACACAAATAAAGCATGGTAATCACAGCCAGTACAACGCACATTAGTACAGGACTGTAAAATAATTGAAGCTATTTAACCATGTATCACAATCTGAATAGTAAGTGGGAAAAATTACCATTAGCCTGTAATTTTAAAAAATTACAATTCTCAAAACCAAAAACTAAAGTTTATTAATCCCAAGGAGTAAGTGAACACATACCAAATTTTAAGATAAATGCTAAAGGAGATAGACAAACTATTAACAAATACTGAAATTCCTAAAAGAGATTTAACTACAGTAGAAACACATATGGACATCAGCTTTTCAAATTATGATACTCTGAGCAGAACGGAAGACAGTGCTCACTCCCAGATCTGATTCAGCGGTTGGGACATCAACAATACGATAATGTAAGGCAGAACACAAAAACTAAAGAAAAAATTGCAAGGAAAAAGTAAGATGCTTACAGGGAGAGCAGACCTGACATACACAGAAAAAAAAGATCAGGAGACTAACCACACAAATTCTAAAACAAAGTTTCACTAATCTAAGGAGAGTTCTTGTATGAAGCCTAAGAAGATCTAAACTGCGGGAGTTTAGAGTGGAGTTGTTTATATTTTATTTTATTTTATTTTATTCCTTTATTTTTTGACAGGCAGAGTGGACAGTGAGAGTGAGAGAGAGAGAGAGAGAGAGAGAGACAGAGAGAAAGGTCTTCCTTTTGCGGTTGGTTCACCCTCCAATGGCCGCCACGGCTGGCGCGTTGTGGCCGGCACACCACGCTGATCTGAAGGCAGGAGCCAGGTGTTTCTCCTGGTCTCCCATGGGGTGCAGGGCCCAAGGACTTGGGCCATCCTCCACTGCCTTCCCGGGCCACAGCAGAGAGCTTTCCTGGAAGAGGGGCAACCAGGAAAGAATCCAGCACCCTGACTGGGACTAGAACCCAGTGTGCCGGCTCCACAGGCAGAGGATTAGCCCATTGAGCTGCAGCGCCGACCGAGTTGTTTATTTTGTACGGTACTTGGAGAAACCACAACTGGGGAGCAGATTCTCTAATACAGACTATTTTAATTTTAGTCACTTTGACTTTGGAAATAGCTCAATAGTTTCTATAGTTATTTTTTTTTAAAAAAACATTGTTAACTATTTATTTTTATAAATTACAGAGGAAGAAGGACAGAGACAAAGAGGTGGAGAGACCCTCCATCCAATGGCTCACTTTCCACATGTCTGCAATACCAGGGCTGGGCCAGGCCAAATCCAGTAGCCCAGAACTCCATCCATGTCTCCTACACGGGTAGCAGGAGAACAAGCACTTGAATCATCATTTGCTGTGCTTCCTTGTATGAATTTTTCTAGCAGGAAGCTGGACTGGAAATAGAATAGGCACACTACAGCCTGCATTATGACATGGGACAAGATGTAGGCATCCCAGGTGGCACTTGAACCTGCTGACAGTAACTGTCCCCATAATCATTTTTTGAAGTCAGCCTGTGTATCAACTCATTCAAACAACTATACAGAAAACAATTACTGGGACCAGACTGTGGCATAGCGGGTAAAGCCGCCACCTGCAGTGCCAGCATCCCACATGGGCGCTAGTTCGATTTCCGGCTGCTCCACTTCCCATCCAGCTCTCTGCTATAGCCTGGGAAAGCAGCAGAAGATGGCCCAACTCCTTGGGTCCCTGCACCCACGTGGGAGGCATGGAAGAAGCTCCTGGCTCCTGGGTTTGGATCTGCACAGCTCTGGCCGTTGCGGAATTTGGGATAGAAGACCAGTGGACAGAAGACCTCTCTGCTCCTTCTCTCTCTATGTAACTCTGGCTTTAAATAAATCTTTATAAAAAAAAAAAAAAAGCAATTATTTGGGAATTGGAGTTATAGTGTGGTGGCATAAGAAACTGCCTATGACAGTCACATACTGATTTTATCAGAGTGCCATTTTAAGTCCTGGCTACTCTGCTTCTGAACCAGTTCCCTACTTTCAATGTGCCTGGGAAAGCAGATGCGCCACGTGCTAGGGCCCCTGCCACCTATGTGGAAGATCAAGTTTCAAACCCCTGGCTTTGGCTCACATCATTCTCAGCTGCTGTGGTCATTTTGGAGAATGAACCAGTAAATGGAAGAGAGATTTTTCTCTCTTTCTTTCTCCTTTAAATAAATAAATCTTAAAGCAAGTATTAAAATAAAATAGATGATGCAACTTTAAATGTGTGTATCCTCCATCTGTGTCTTTCAAAGAAGTTTAAAAATAATGATTAATTCAGTAGCAACATTCTCCCAAATCCGACACTGTAACCTATAAATGTCACTTCTTACAAAAAAGACATCGGGTTCCTTGGGAAAATGGCTGAATCTAGGTCTGACACAGGAAATACCTAAGAAAAATAGAATATATTGTCATAATAGAAAGCAAACAATCTATAAAATATAGAACTGCAACCAAAAGGGGCCAGCACTGTGCCATAGTAGGTTGAACCTCCACCTTTGTCGCCAGCATCCTCTATGGGCACCCATTTGTGTACCGCTGCTTCTCCTCGGATCCAGCTGTCTGCTTACAGCCTGGGAAAGCAGGGGAAGACGGCCCAAGTCCTTGGGCCCCTGCACCTGCATGGGAGACCTGGAAGAAGCTCCTGGCTTCAGATAGGCATAGCTCTGGCTATTGTAGCCATCTGGGGAGTGAACCAGCAGATGGAAGACCTCTCTCTCTGCCTCTGCATCTCTGTAACTCTGCCTTTCAAATAAATAAATAAATCTTAAAAAGAGTAATTGTGCCGGCGCCGTGGCTCACTAGGCTAATCCTCCGCCTTGCGGCACCGGCACACCAGGTTCTAGTCCCGGTCGGGGCGCTGGATTCTGTCCCGGTTGCCCCTCTTCCAGGAAAGCTCTCTGCTGTGGCCAGGGAGTGCAGTGGAGGATGGCCCAAGTCCTTGGGCCCTGCACCCCATGGGAGACCAGGATAAGTACCTGGCTCCTGCCATCGGATCAGCACGGTGCGCCGGCCGCAGCGGCCATTGGAGGTGAACCAACAGCAAAAGGAAGACCTTTCTCTCTGTCTCTCTCTCTCACTGTCCACTCTGCCTGTCAAAAAAAAAAAAAAAAAAAAAAGAGTAATTGCAACAGAAACATAAAGTGTCAAACTTATGGATTATTAATACTCAAACCAACTTATTATTCTAAAAACTGATAAATCCTTCCTTCCTATACAATCCATACCCCTAATTAACCAATGTAGATAGATGAGATGTTATTTCTCTGTAAGTATTCCAAGGGTCTACACTGTGGCACAGCAGGTAAAGCCGACACCTGCAACACCTCTTGTTCGAGTCACTTCTGATCCAACTCCCTGATAATGTGCCTGGGAAAGCAGCAGCAGATGTCCCAAGTGCTTGGGCACCAGCACCCACATGGGAGACCCGGAAGAAGATCCTGGCTTCTGATCTGCTCAAGCTCTGGCCTCTGTGATCATTTGGGGAGGGATTCAGCAGATGGAAGACTTCACTTTCCATTTCTCTATATAACTCTGCCTTTCAAATAAAGTTAAATAAATTTAAAAAAAAAAAAGCAAACACAAATAGCATTCCACTTAAATGAAAAGATATTAACAGAAATATATTACGACCTTCAATTTTTGATGCTTTAATGGATCTAGGCTGATGTCTACCTTTTCCTATTTAAAATTTTTTATTTATTTTCATCTTGTATGTATTTGAAAGAGAGACATATAGAAAGAGACAGAGACACAGATTTTCCATCTAAAGGCTCACTCCTCATTGCCTGCAATGGTGAGACCTTGCCAGGCAAAAAAAGCCAGCAGCCTAGAAGGTAATCCAGGTCTCTCTAGTGGGTGGCAGGGACTCAACCATTTGAGCCATCACTGCTGCCTCCCAGCAGGCAGTGGAACAGGAAGCTGGAATATGAAGAGAAGCCAGTTCTCAAACCTAGGCACTTTGCTATAGGATGCAAGCATCCCCACCTGGCATCTTACCTGCTAGACCAAATGCCTGTCCTCCCCTGCTCCTAATAATTAATTCTTGCAGGGAGCTGTCCTACATGGTAGGATGTCTGAAAGGATCCCTCTCATCTACCCACTACATGTTATTGAACACCCTCCAAGCTGTGATAACCAAAAATGTCTCCAGACATTGCCAAGTGTCTACTGGAGTTAGAAGGGCAAAATTACTCCTGGTCTAAAAAAACCACTGATCTAGGCAATCGTCATCATCAATGGCTGTTGACATCCCCCCCCCCACCCCACACACAGCAACTAGATGCATCCTGAGGGAACTACTTTTGCCAAGATCAAACCTAAATCTGATTACACCTCTAGATCTACTTCCTAGTGTGTAAGAAATTCAAGAATGGAGAGAACCTTATTAAAGAGTACCATTGGGATACAATAACAAAACCCCACCATCTTCCACTGCTCTCCCAGGCCACAGCAGAGAGCCGGATCAGAAGTGGAGCAGCCGGGACTTTAACCGGTGCCCATATGATATGCCAGCAATGCAGGCGGCAGCTTTACCTACTGCACCACAGTGCCAGCCCCTATTTTATTTATTTGAAAAGCAGAGTCACAGAGAGAGGGAGAGACAGAGAGAGATCTTCCAGCTTTATCCACTCTACTACAATGCTGGTACAAGACATATCCAAATTTTGAACAATAAAGCCATTAATGAAAGGGACCACAAAGGAAGATACTTATTAATAATAGAATTTTAGTTATCAACACCCCAAATACAATCAGAACCAAATATCCAGTAGAACAAACCTCAACATATGAGAATATTTTTTTAGAAGTATTTCTTTTCGGGGCCAGCACTGCAGGAGCTGGTTCCAGTCCTGGCTGCTCCACTTCCAATCCAGCTCCCTGCTAATATGTCAGGAAAAGCAGCTGAAGATGGTGCAAGTGCTTGGGCCCCTACACCTGTGTGGGAGATCCTGAGGAAGTTCCTGGCTCCTGGCTTTGGTCTGGCCCAGTTCCAGCCACTGTGGCCTTTTGGAAGACCTCTTTGTCTCTCTCTCTATAGCTCTACCTTTCAAATAAATAAATAAATCTTCTTTTTTAAAGGCATTTCATTTCTTTCTACAAGAAAAACCATGTAACAATAAACGATGACTTGGAAAAAAAACTTTATTAATTAATCTATGTACATACCATGGAGTACCAGGAATAGGAGTAGTAGCTACTGGTTTTGCCTTCTGGGCAGCCTTTTCTTCTTCAGTCATCTCCTCTTCTTTGGGCTCCTAGGGGAAATGGTATTATTCCCATTTAATTAAGAACACAAACATGATTTCACAAAAATAAGTACCACTGCAAAACACCTCAAACTGCAACCAACACAGGATCTCCAGTTAGAATGAGGAAGGAGACCCTACACTGGGATTTCTACAAAGTTTCAACTCCTTGCCACCCCCACAAAGAGCTGAATTCTACCACAGCAGAAATCAGTAGCAGCAGTGGTAGTGGCGGATCTTACTTAAAGACTCTTAAACATGGCCGGCGCCATGGCTCACTTGGCTGGTCCCCTGCCTGCAGTGCCGGCACCCCGGGTTCTAGTCCTGGTTGGGGTGCCGGGTACTAGTCCTGGTTGTTCCTCTTCCAGTCCAGCTCTCTGCTGTGGCCCGGGAGGGCAGTGGAAGATGGCCCAGATGCTTGGGGCCCAGCACCCACATGGGAGACCGGGAGGAAGCACCTGGCTCCTGGCTTCGGATTGGTGCAGCGCCAGCCATGGCGGCCATTGGGGGAGTAAACCACCGGAAGGAAGACCTTTCTCTCTGTCTCTCTCTCAGTATATAACTCTCTGTCTCTCTAACTCTGCCTGTTAAAAAATAAATAAATAAATAAAAGACTCTTAAATATGTGCTTAGTAAAAACAAAGAACCACAGTACAGATAATTAGAGGCACTCTCCTCCTTTAAGGTTCTTTCTTATTTCCACTAACTTATTGAAACACGCAATCACTGGGCCCCAAGTGAACAATGGAAACTCCAAAAGGCAGAAATCTTTCAATGTTATAAAGGGATCGCTCCACAAAAGGAAATAACAGAACAGAGGATTAATAAAATATATCCAACATCCCCCCCAAAAACGAAGCTGAACATATGACCTTAACATGTCTTGGGCTAAGCTCTGGTCTAAGACCCTTTTTTTGTATATGCCTCAGTTTAGTTTTAGAAGTAATTTAACAAAATGCTCAAAGGAAAGACTGAATTACAAACTAAAACCCTAAAATTACAGAGAGCAAATTTGTAATTATTTTTAAATATATCAAACAGATACTCAATTATAGGTAAACTTTACCAAAGAATTATTCTTGGCTCCCAGGTTTAACAGATTGTGGCCTTTTACCTCCTTTATCTCTTTTATAGGCTCTTCCTTAGGATCCTCCTCCTCTGTCTCCATGGGCAGAGGTTCTTCAGAGGGTTCTTTAATTGGCTCTTTAATCTTCTCTTCCAATTTTTCTATTAAAAAGTAGACAGTGTCACTTAAAGGTTTTGACAATTTTTTAAAGAACAGAGAAGAAGAAGATATTCTATTTCTAGTTATTAAACTCAAAGATAAAATGTCATTCCTTGTAATACTGATTTGAATATAATGTAATGCTGAACTTCAACTTCAAACAACTTACTAAACCAATCAGGAAAACTATCTTTGGAGGAGACATAGCATCTTTCAGGTCATTCATACTTCATTTGTAGTAATCATTCATTTCGATGAAAAGAAAATTATGATTTTTGGGTACAGAAGTAAGGGCCTGTGACAGAAACTTTTACCTTCACAACACACAATCCTTCCTAACTACTGTTATCAATCTCAGTAAGGACAGCAATAGTTACACAATAATTATGCAATTTTTGACAAGAGCAAATACAAAAAGCAGGTATGTATGTGTATCTTAATCGCTCCACACAGAAAACAATAACAAATGTATAAGTAGAAGAACTGATTTTTCAAATAAATAAATAACAACTTAATAGCAGTAAATACTCCCATAATATGATTAGAAAACCCCTCAAACACGCTGCAAAGAAGTAAACTCAGAATTTCAGAAAGAATTCTACTTATCATAGTTCATCCTATGTCCCAAATCATTAAACGCCTACCTTTTTCCTTTAGTTCTTGAGGTTTTTCCCAGGTTGACTCTAATGTTCTGTTGTTATAATAGTATGTTTTCCCATCTGCTGTTTTATACTCAGTCCACTCAGAAACCGCTGTTGCTCCAGCTAAGGTAGCAGGTGAAGCTGCAATAGCAACTTGAGGATGTATCATGGGTACAATAGGAGGGGCCATTCCTGGCAATACACCTACAAAAGAATAATGAAAAATTAGACTCAAGTACTTAATTGCAATATAAAACAAAACTCTAAAATAAGAGCTAAATCTTATTACATATTAATAAATGAATGAACGGAACAAAAAATCATGTAAAAAGGGATTTTTGGTATTATTTCATTCTACTGCCCTGCTTTGTTTTAGTTCTAATGCCTAAATTCAATTAGATACAGAAATTCAATCCAATAAATACCTGAATAGTCAAAAATTTGGGTCTCCCCTATGATGAAGCCTTAACAATAAATGATAAAAATTATACTCTATTTATGAGCATAAATATATTTTTATAATCTCTCAAATTCTCATGAATTCACAACAAATATATTTACTGAGTATATTGCTTAAGGCAAAGTTATCTTGTATTCCTAATATACCTAACAGGATATGAAAAATTCTTCAATTTAAAATAAATGGGTTTATCAAATCTAAATGATTAAAGTCAACTACCACTGTGAGCTCTGTCAATTTATTCTTTTCCTAAGCAAAGCTGCTTCCAGTTTTTAAACGACAAGCCAAGATTAATGTATTTTACAACACAGCCAAGTAAGCTGATACTATATAAATATTAAAACAAGGATACATGAATCAAAACTGAAAAGAAACCTTGAAATCCTAAACTAGAATTTAACTTTTGAGTTGTTACTTTACTTCAGTAACTTTAAAATGTAAATATATTCTATACACATAAATATTCACACACATATACTCACTAGCATGCAAGCATAATCACATCACTTTACACATGGAAATGATTTTTTTATATTTAACTTAAAAACACATCAAAAATAAAATTAAATGTTATGAATATGAGAATGAAGTTGTTTACACTTATTACATAAATTAAGATATAAAGTGATCTGACCTTATTTGCTTTTGTGAACCAAAGAGGCTAATACTACAGGCAATTGGGAAAATTAAGTGTTGGCCAAATATGACAACTGTATATATACTGCTCATTAAAAAGAAAAATATAAAAAAATCCACTCACTTGGGCAAAAAAATAAATAAAAGGATAAACAACAACATTCACTACCATGCCAACTTACAGACAAAACAAACTAAGATGGTTTTAAAAATTACCGGTCTTGGTGGTAGCGACTGTCTTTACATACGGGCAGCTGACTATTTGCATCATTGCTACACCTGTAAAATGGATAAGCAAGCATACGTTGGAAAGCTGCCATTGTATGTCAGCTACCACTGGGATTCAGGGCAATAATTTACCACTACAATTTAGAATGCGACTTCTAATGTAAAAGACCAAGAATGGAGTAAAATTCTGTATGTGTGACATTTTGCGGGAAGTGATGTCAAATCCAACAATACTAACTGAATTATATCAATAATTACCTACCATCTCTGTTAACATTTGAAGGAGTCTCAGTGCTTTAAGTTCAACAAAAGAAAAGTCCCCTTCATTACATACATGTAACAAATTCTCATGTGGTCTTTTACCCACAGGACATCAAACCATGCTGCTATTGCTCAGATACCAGTGAAAGGCAGACACAGCATGATGCTAACAAAACACTTTTTCTACGCTACTGCTAAGGTGAACCTGCATGCAGGAGCTGAGAGGCATGGAGCACAACCAGAAGTAGAAGAGCAATGATAGGATAAATGGGTGGGAGGGGTAGGAAGAAAAGCAGGTTATGAAATGGATCCAGATGTCCCACCACAAATAATATTTTCAGCAAGAAAAAGGCAAAGATGAAGGAGAGTAGCATCTAACTAACAACAAAATACCCACATTGACGGCCTCTGTTCCATGGAATCCCATGGACTCAGAACACTGTAGAGGCAGGCTAAAACATTAAGGAACACCCAATCTCTGTTATATTGTTAGTGATAATATGGGCTGATGGCTACAGAAACTTCTATCATTTAAGCTGTCTAAAGAAGTATATTAAAGAATTACGTACAGTTCTTAGAAGAATGAAGACTCATCATGTTGCATTATAATGGAGATAAATAAGGGAAGAAAAGCAAAAGCTGGAAAACTAAGACTGATTAACTGAGGAAATTCAAAATTGAAAGTGTTTTAAATTTTCTGTTTTAAAGGAACAGGCTGAAGAAATATAAAGGGAAAACAACTTTTATTTTTTTATTTGTTCAGCTGAAAACACTAAACTCAGTTTGGTATCCAGAAGTTAAAAATAACAATAAACTACTTTTCCCACTGAATGTAAGGAAAAGAAATTTCTCCTAGAGACTAAAAATAAAATCAACCCTCCAGGATTTGTACCAATGTAACTATGCCCACGCACACGCACACACACACACACACAAATGCTTTTCATTTTGAAAAGATGTTTTAATTTCTTAAGTACTGTTCTATATAAGAATATTAAAGCCGGGGCAGAGTAGGGTAATCCTCCACCTGTAGCACCGGCATCCCATATGAGCGCCAGTTCTAGCCCCAGCTGCTCCACCCAGATCCAGCTCTCTACTGTGGCCTGGGAGAGCAGCAGAGGATGGCTGAAGTCCTTGGGCCCCTGCACCCACATGGGAGACCCGGAAGAAGCACCTGGCTCCTGGCTTCCTATTGGCACAGCTCTGGCCATTGCAGCCATTTGGGGAGTGAACAAACGGACAGAGGACCTTTCTCTCTGTCTCTCCCTCTCACTGCCTATAGCACTACCTCTCAAGTAAATAAAAAGCTAAACTTTCCATTAATCCATAAACTAAAATAAAAACACTGGATCTTAAAAGCATGCTAAGTAAGGTTATATGTACAGTTTTCTTGCCCCTAATGTTGAAATCAAGCAATGAAAAATTCCATTTGTACAGCATGCAATAAAGTTAAATTAATATAAATACTGCCACCTGCAGGACTATCAAAGCTATTAATCTAGCACTGGAAATTCAGTTCCTAGAATATATAAATTTTACACTCAAAGACTACTCTCCAAATCATTCTCCAATAAATGATTCCAACTATACAACTTAAAGAGAAGAAAACTAAATCTATCCACTTACACTTCACTGCTACCATTAAAAATCAACTGAATCAGCACAAAATGCTCTTACTGCCAACATACAGACCAAGGCAAAAGGTCACATACATTTCTTCATGCTAAGAAAGATAAATGTAAAGTTTTTTCCTCGAGGTAGTAGATGTGTACCATGAATACGGAATAATCACACATCATTTTAATCCCTCTCTCTTGTTTTAAAGGGGAACATTTGTTCAATTTTCCTACAATTCTGCCTTCAAATTATACTGCTAATAAATTAGAAAATCCCATTTAGCATTTTGGATAATTCTGGCATCACTGACATTAAGTTTCTCAAATTTCATTCATCTCTAAGACTTTTGTGATAAAAACAGAAATCCTATAATCCTAATCTGATTTCCTAACCTCTTAATCCCTGTATTTTACCGCATTCTTTGATTCCTTCCTTTCATCTTGTTTGATTATCCATTCTTTAATCATCCTCAGTAAAGCCAAAGAATGCTATTTCAAATAGAACTTAGGGCTCCAAGATACATGACAAATCCTCTCACTACAGAGTGGAAATAATGAGGAAAAAACAGAGACAGATCTCAATGTATATAAAAGCAAAAGATTTTGGGAAGAGAAAAATATGTCTTAGATGTCTTTTATGTTTACTGAAACTTAACATTGTTAAGTTGAATTAAAATGGAAAATAAATGTCTCATACACAAACAATATTAATATTACTTTCTATAAGATACTAATTCCCACTCTAAAGAATCTTGGTATGGTAGATAATACGTTCAAAACTATCTAATTCACGTTCTCTATCAACCTACGAGGGGCTGGCAATGTCGTTCAGCGGGTTAAAGCCCTGGCCTGCAGCGCCAACATCCCATATGGGTGCCGGTTTGAGTCCTAGCTGCTCCATTTCCTATCAAGCTCTCTGCCATGGCCTGGGAAATCAGTAGAAGATGGCACAGACCCTTAGACCCCTGCACCCACGTGGGAGACTTAGAAGAAGCTCCTGGCTCCTGGCTTCAGATCAGCTCAGGTCTGGCCGTTGCGGTTATTTGGGGAGTGAACCAGCGAATGGAAAACCTCTCTCTGGCTCTACCTACTCTGTAACTCTGTCTTTCAAATAAACAAACTAAATCTTTAAAAAAAAATCAACCTATGAAATGTTACTAGTGGCTGCCATGTATTAAATGCCTTTCACTTCTAAACTTCACAGGGAATTCATTTTGGTGACACAAATAGTCACTACCATTCCTCCTAAATTTTTTTTTTTTTTTTTTTGACAGGCAGAGTTAGACAGAGAGAGACAGAGAAAGGTCTTCCTTTTCCGTTGGCTCACCCTCCCACCAAATGGCTGCTACGGCCGGTGCGTCGTGGCCGGCACGCTGCACTGATCTGAAGCCAGGAACCAGGTACTTCCTCCTGGTCTCCCATTCGGGTGCAGGGCCCAAGCACTTGGGCCATCCTCCACTGCCTTCCTGGGTCACAGCAGAGCTGGACTGGAAGAGGAGCAACTGGGACAGAATCCAGTACCCCACTGGGACTAGAACCCGGGGTGCCGGCGCCACAGGCGGAGGATTAGCCTAATGAGCCGCAGCGCCAGCCTCCCTCCTAAATTTTTGATCAATAGAGCAAGGGTCAAGGGAAACCATAACATCAAAATGCAATTATAAGGATGGGTATTTGTGACCTTGTGGTTAAAACACCCACATCCCTTATCTAAGTGCCTAGGGGCTGGATTCAACACTTGCCTCCCCCTCCTCACTCCAACGTCCTGTTAATGCAAATCCTGGAGGCAGGCTGATGGCTCTGGGATTTTATTAGCCACTTTGGGGGAGACTATCTTGGATAGAGTTCCCAGTTCCCAGTTTTGGCCTTCGCCTGGTCCTGGATGCAGCAGGTAATTGAATGAACCAACAGATTAAAGTTCTCTGTTCTGTCTTATTTTCAAAAAATATAACATATATAAAAAAAAGGAGCTGTATCTTGTAGGGATTTTAATGTGACATTTCTACAGAAAGGAATTTTGCTACTCTGTACTCTTCACTCATTGGTCTAATAAGAATCTCTAAAGCAAAATAAATGTACTTTCGGATGAGCATCTTTCAAAATATATCAATAGCATTATTGTGCTACCTCTCAAGTCTTCTCTACAAAATTAACAACCCCAGTTTCTTTAAATCACTTGAAAACTAAGATCTGGTCTTAATACTGTCCTTAATCTTAACACAGACCAAAACTGAAAGGTTAGGACAAAATATTGAGCTATTTTTCATCTACCATTTAGTTTCCAACAAAACCACATCCAGAACAAAGAATTCAGTGGCTTGTCTAAAATTCGATTTAGAAAAGGGATAATCCCTAGTAAGAGAAAATGCATTGTTTTCTTATTTTGAAATGTTTCTTAAACAGTACACACTGGGCACTGAATTATCTAACACTATTTCAGTAATGTACCAAAGGTTTTTCTATCAAATCAAAAACAAAAAACAATAATTCTTGAAAATTTTGGTTTCTTGGCAATGCACAGTATCAGAACATGTCCTTCCCAAAGTAGTCACAAAGAAAAAGACAGCTAGAGCAATAGTGTTAATTAAGATGTGTACGAATCTTAGAAATAGCTATTATCACAACCCTCATCTTACATAGGAGCTAGAACAATAAAACAGTGGCAATAAAAATGGGAGGAATGCGAAACAGAGAAGCCTAGGTTCTATCCATCCTTGCTACACACTAGCCCTGTGTGCACATGAATTCATTATGATATCAATGTTTGCAAGTATACCATAAAGAGAAGGGACCACAGATCAAGGATTAAACAAATCTGGTAACACCAACTGCATTCAAATTAGAATGCCCAACACTATTACTGTTTAATCAATACGGGAAAAAATCCTACCCCACAACCTTTTCTGTCTTTAACCTTAGTAATTTCACATTAGATAATAAAACACATGAAATTGCCACAACAATTTAAGCTTTCAAGTAATGCAAGTTATATTTTACTTCATGAATGTTACAAGGGTATCTAGGTATAGCTGTTTTACAGTAATTTTTCATTTTTTTTACAGTTAAGTGACTACATTTTCTTCCCAGCCTAACAGTTTCTAGAACCTAGGAATCTGGTTCTGGAGGACACAATATCAAATCCCAAAACTATCACTACTTATGTGACCTTGGGCAGATAATGTAACCTGTCTGTGTACCTACCTCATAAAATGGTTGTGAAAATTAAAGAAGTTTTTAGAACAGTGCATTGTAGATAAATCATTCAACTGTGTTAGCTACTATGATGTGATTTCTCAATTTCAGAGACTCAATCCCTTAAAAGCATTGCATTTAGAACATATTTACATGAAAAGATGATCATTTTTAATTATTCAGGCCAAAATCCAAAGTAAGTGTAGCTTTAAATGTGGCTCTAATTTAAGACATGTAAACAACAACAAAAAAAGGACATTTACCAAAACTGAAGAGAAAATATTGCAGTTAGCCATGAATCTTTCAAAAACGTTTCAAACACATGAGATTCAAGGCAAAGTTTCAAATGCAACAGACACATGAGAACAAACTAACTGACAATATGGAAACAGCTGAAGAAACTATTATAATCTGCTGGTTTACCTGGAAGTGGAATTGGCATGCCAGGAAGGGGTACACGAAACGGAGGTACCATTACTGGTGGAAAAGCAGGTATTGCTGCTGCTGGCTGAGGTACTGAATGAGGAACAGCAGGAGGTAACGTCTGTGGGTGCGGCTGGGGAACAGTTTGCACAGGTGTGGCTGTAGGAGCAGGAGCTGAAACACTAACTGTAGGCGTGGCAACTGAAACAGCAGAACTTGGGGTCTGATCTTGTGTTGTGGGTGCTGATAAAAGATAAAACAAAAAACGTATCACTTCTTCAGAACCCATTTTACCATATTCATTTATCATTCATTCATTCATTCACACTAAGTATTAAGGGCCCATTCCATGCACTGCAAGAAATCTGTCAAAAGGTCTGTCTTCAAGAATCTTGAAAACAGTTACATGAAATATAAAAAGTAACTAAAAATACAAAGTGAAATGAGATAAAAGCACAGGGGTATAAAAATGCAGAGATCATTTTTAACTGTGAAAAAGAGTACAGAAAATTTTATTCTGAGATGATGAACCTTGAAAGATTAAGATTTCAACAAGGAAAATGAGGGAGCAGGAGAAAATAACCAAGTGATCGGGAAAGTATGAGTAAAAGAAAAGAGAATAAGGAACTGTTCAGAAAACTGAAAACAAGCAGTCAACTAGTGAAACACTGGACATGCTAACAAAACCAGACAGCTATGGCTAGAAAGGTAGGCCAGAGGCAGGAAGTAGGAAGCCTTGAACAGGGGCTAAGGAATCTGCACTTTGCTAAATGAGGAAAAGGGATAACTTAGGCAAAAGTACAGAGAATGATCTAGAAAAATAAATCTACACCAATATGTATTAACAATAGTTAACCCTGTGTACGACACACAATTTTATTACATATTTTTATTAGAATTTAAATTTGTTTTAAGAATGAACTCATGTTATTTGTGTAACTTCATAAACGTAAAAGGGATAGACAAAAGGTTTCTGCAGAAGAATTATCATCAGTGTTCATTTCATGAATTAAGCTGGCAGACCAATAGGAAATAAAGGAAGAACAGAAGTGGGAAAGTCATTTCTAACACTGCTGGAACTTTCCAAGCAAGAGACAACACAGAGGAAAAGATACGCAAATAACTGATGACGGATTGGATATGAATGAATGGAGGAAAAAACAACTCAGATTTCCCTAAAATTATTTCAAAATAGAAAAAAAAATTTTTAAAGCTCAGGTTTCCATTTTAAGATCAGGAGAATATGAAATTCAGGACAATTTGTGTCCTCATTTTATTTTTAACTATCCAAAAAAAACAAAAAAACAAAAAACAAAAAACAAAAAACCACATTCCATCCCTAGTAATCATATTGAAAATACAGTTGACCAAAAAAAAAATCCATATTCCACATTTCTTAAAGTTTCAGTTCTCACATATTACAAAACATTTGTTACTTATTCATAACCCATCTATTCACAAAACAAAATTCATTTTGGTGATTTATTGCTAACAAATAGGTTACGTTTTTCTTGATGTACAGAAAAGTTAAGGCATGGGTCTCTACCTGTATTAGACTAAGAACGACTTTATCAAATTAAATAAATAAAACAATGCTTTCCCAATCTTTTTGCCAATTTTATTCTAACCAGAAAACACACTGTTTAAGTCAAACCCACGCAACTGAACAAACTCTGTCAGTATCTTTTTTCAGCTTTAAAAATGGAAAACTCACTTAGGCTGGGAAGATGTGAGCAATTTCATACTTGTTAATAAGGGACTCACCTTGGCTAAATAGACAGCAGGGCCAAACAAGTATCTTCAGGGCCCAGGAATGAATTGTTGGTCTAGCATAGACCTAGCCTTAGGGTACAGTATCATATTAATATAATTTAAAACAGTGTGAAAAATACAACTTACATGCAACATTTGCCCAGTCCCATACATTTAGCAGTTAGCATTTGTTATCTACCATAACGGCTGAAAATACATCTAAGTTTTCTTCCCAACTTCCCTAAGATTTCATCATTTTCCACAAATTTGCACAAACTGGATTAAAATATAAATTTTTTGTTACAAATACTCATAGATCTATATTACAGTTCACAGAACTAAAATTTTTAAAAAGTATTATAATAGTATTCAGGCAATTACTCAAATTATTATCCAAAGTAATACAGTCTGGAAAATATAATGGTTTATAAGGACATCAAATTTAAATGGAAAGGATCACCAATGGGGATGGCAAAAAGTATTCACTCAAGCCATCACTCTTACTTTCTAGCACAGGAGCAGCTGATTTTGATTACTGGCTATGGGTCATGAGCAGGAAATGTAAAAGTCATAGAAGAATTAGATGAGACCAGGAGAAGTAGGATACCTAAGACTTGACTACTACTTCATTTCTTATAATAACTATTAAAACTTGAGGCCTCAAAATATACTAATTCAGTCTCAAATTTTAACTAAAAAAGACAAGTGATTATATATAACAGATGGAAAAATCTTAAGACAGTAGCCAAGACAGCACTTTATGATATACTGAATCAAGTGAAATAAAAACATATCAGGAATACTCAGACAACATCAAAACTCATGTTTAAAAGCAGTAGAAAAGAATATGATTTTGCTATCTTGTTCTTAAAATAAAGCCTCCCAATCACTGAAGGACAGAGTAAAAAACTGGCAAACAGGATTTTTTAATAGAATAGTTGATAATCATAAGATGGGCATAAGCTTACTGACAGACTACTCTGACAAAGAAATTGAATTTATATAGAATTTTTAACATCTTTGTATACCTACCTCCCTTAAAGCAAGATGAAATACTATTTCTCCTTCCCACAAAGGCAGGGGAAAAAATGTAAGCAACACAGAACCTCCACCTAGACCTACACTTCTTTTATTAATCCCCTTCTCCCATTACCACCACAGGTAACCCTGTCTTCTGCATTGCCACCCAAGTTTTAGACTCACTTAGCCTATAAAAAAGTGAAGACCTTCAACCAGCTAGCTAGTATAACTGTTATATTTCTATAAGAAATTCATCTTAGTTACAAAATCAAACAACCTTGTAAAGCACTGTTTACATTTTCCTCTTTAGTTCATTTTCCCTCAAGCTGTCTGAAAAAATATTAAGTAGGGTCTTTAAAAACTGTCTCTATATTATATATACCTTACATCTTCAGTTATTTCTTAAATCAATAATAAATCCAAATTTGAATCCACTATGATTAAATTTCTCTCATATATAAGAGTATTTCTTACACACTAATAATTCCTTTAAGTCCCTAAAGCTATGGGAGGTTGGGTGCAGCGAAAGGGGAATGACATCGACTTAAAAAAATTATTTTTCTTTTCTCTAGGTAGTAAAGCAATATAAATTATAATCATCCTGTAAAGATAGCCATGTATCTTCAGTATAGTATCATGTCAAACAAATCAATAACATGATTATTTAAACAATTTTAGGCTCAGTTTCAGACTAGAGAGTAAGCAGTAATATCCATATGCAAAATAGGAAATCAACAAAAAAAGTGTAGTAAGTAGCATAGGCAGTTATGACAATCTTTGAAGCAAATTAATAGATCTATCCTACTCTTCATTCCTGAAATCTGCTATTAATCAAATCTCATCTTTTTACAAAAGATCTAGCCTTTGGGCCTCTGCAACTTTATACCTGAAAATTCCCTTACCTTTCTGAATGCTGCTACTGCAACTTCTCATTCCATCTACCTGCATTCCATTCTAGGACCTACCACCTCATAAAGAGATTAGTGACAAATTCCTAAGAGAACTCCCTGATTTCAACACTACCCAAAAAGCTAGCAATAGTAAACTCTTCCAAAATACTGCATTTACACAGGACCCTTAGTGTCTATTTCACCCTTCATAACTTGTTTCACTCTTACTGAAAATCTACTGGCCAATATAAATCCTCTCAGCTCTGAAGAGTTTCCTAATAATCCCGTAAACTCCATTTATTTATTATTTCCTGACCTTTGTTCATGGTGCTAACCTGAAAACCCTTTCCTCACTTTTGCACTTTTGAATATATTCAAATTCTACTCCATATCCTTCATGATAAATCTGAATACTCATATAGTTTACCCACTGTTTCTTGAATCCTTACATCATTTCTTCTCTGATTTTATACTTATTCTAATTTCTTCACATGTATTATTCTTGCCTCAATTAGAAAAACTACAAACTCTATAAGGTAGCCACAATTCAAATTACTTTGCAAAGCCCACAGCACTCATAACTACCGTTAGCCAAGATGAGTAGTGAACCCCATACCTACCCAGTTTAGTTTCATGAACTGCAACTATGCAAATCATTTATTTTACTAACATAAATTTTGGTTTTTTTCTGACCCAAGAGTTTCAATTTCAAAAATATATTTTAAACAACATCAAGGACAATACCAGAAACATTCAGATCATTCTGGAATTCAGCTCCTAGTTTCTTTCTCCAGCCCCTGAATAAAAATATATGCTTGCTGGTACTCACTTGATACTGTCTGTGCAACTGAAGTGGCAGTTGTTGTGGTAGAAGTGGTAGAGGATGGGGTGGATGAAGATGTTGAAGTGGATACTGCAGGTGCTGGGCTACTGGTCGTAGGGGTGGAAGCTCCTACTGCTTGTGCTTGCACTTGTGCCTGGGCCTGGGCTTGGGCTTGCGCCTGCGCCTGCGCCTGGGCCTGCGCCTGCGCCTGGGCCTGGGCCTGGGCTTGTGCCTGCGCCTGGGCCTGCGCTTGTGCCTGGGCCTGGGCCTGGGCCTGGGCCTGAGCCTGAGCCTGAGCCTGGGCCTGGGCCTGGGCCTGGGCCTGAACCTGCGCCTGGGCTGCAAGCATAGGTGTCAATTCAGATTGCTGAATAACCTTAACTCCATCTGGCTTGGTCCATGCAGATTCACGCGTCCGAGCATTGTAATAATAAACCTGCGAAGAAAGCAAAGTTACTGATATCAGAGAATCTGCCAACTATTATTAAAAATAATACAACTGTTTTTTGCCTTAAAAAGGTATTATTAAAATAACTGATAGAAATTATATAAAAATTGGTTATTGATTTATTATGGGATTATGGGTAATTTCCCTCTCCAACTTTTTCTAGAGAGCATTTCTTATTTTTTAACATACACACAAAGGAAAATGAAGGTTGCATTTTGTGCTCAAAGTTAACACAGCCAGCCTAAGACTACTATCCTTAGAAAGACATGCTTACAGTTACCCCTGGGCTGCAATCGGAACACCTGGATTTCAGGAGAGTTATCACCACTCTCTCATTCATAAGAATGGCTCCCTGGGCCTAAATCATTTAAGCAAACAATGCAATTCATGTTAAACATCTTATTTCCTACTGGAGTCTGGGATTAGCTTTGTAGATGGCAACTATGTGACCAGCCCTCAGTGAAAACCCTGGAATTCCTGGGATCAGGTGAGCTCTCTGGGTAGACAACAGTTCACATGTGCTGTCACTACTCCATGCTGGAGGAACCAAGCATAAGTTATGTGATTCCAACAGGAGAGGGCACTTGGGAGCCTGTGCCTGGTTTCCGTCAACTTCACCTTATGTCCCTTTTTTCCTTTGCTGGAATTTCTTTGTATTCTTTCACTGCAATTAGTGCTGGCTATGAGCCCAACTATATGATTTCCTGATAGTCACATTACCAAACCTGGAGGTGGTCTTGATGACCTCTAACATATTATTTAAAACAGAAGCTTCCAGAATCACAAGCAAAGGTACGCTGGCGCTCCAGGGAATCTCCTATCTACACAGAAGCCCAATCCAGACAGCTTTTTCAGGTGTTCTACACCATCCTCTGCTTACCTGAGGCTCTTTCTTAATTGACAATGATATTGTCATTGATCTCAACCTACCAGAACTCTTAATTTACTCTTCTGTCACTAAAAAGACAAAGAACTTACATATTTTAAAATTTACCTTCCCATCTGGAGTTTTATTTTCAACCCAAATCTCCTCAGTAGGAGGCAGTGCTGGAGTACCAGGAGCAGTCACAGGAGGCATTCCCGGTGGAAACATCATACCGGGAGGAGGTGGCATGGTTCCCATGGGTGGAGGCATAAAAGGTGGTCTCTGTTAATTCACAAGAACAGTTAACACTCACCTGTAATTATTAACCTTTATTCCTTCTAATTCTTAATGAATTCTATCCCAAACTAAAGCACTCTAAGAGAAACTACTTTTATAACCTATTCAAATACATTCACTTGTTGTTTTAGCCGTTTCTCTTTAAAAAAATCACTAAATAGACTAGAAAGAGGTCAACTGTGCTATATTATTATGAATGAATTCTGCTTTCTTTATATTTTCTCTGCATTTTTCCATACACTGTCAACATGACTACTTTTAAAAGAAAAAAAATGATTTTCATATCCTATTTTAAGACCAGACATACCAATGACTCCACAAATCACCCACAATAGGTTTCAAGCATAAAATATTTTTTTTTTACAAAACACAGAAATCATCAAGAAAGAAAAATCAGATATATGCAATCTTTCATTCTCTCTTCTCCAGTAACAAATGCCTGCAATGGCCAGAGCTGTACCAGGCCGAAGCCAGGAGCTTCTTATGGGTCTCCCACATGGGTGTAAGGGCCCAGGCACCTGGGCCAACCTCTGCTCCTTTCCCAGGCACATTAGCAGTGAGCTGCAGCAGCCAGAACTCGAATCGGCACCCACATCAGACACCAGCATCACAGGCGGTTTACCCACTATCCCATGATGCCGGCCCCCATTACTAATTCAATACTACCTCTTACAATTCTTTCACTGTCATTCTTCAACAACTTCTGAAAAAAGGCAAAATCCCAAACCAAAAAATTTACCTGTAATTGTGGTATCTTACTAAAGCAGAAGAGTAGCCCCTTTTAAACATATATACCCAAACTTGTAAAAACAAAGACTCACGAAAGAGTTTTCATTGCACATAAAAATTAGTTTCTAAATTATAGTGAATATTGGTCTAACATTTTTAAAACAGATTCTGGAGGGTTAATGATTTCCTTCATAATCTGTAAGAAATATTAAAATGCAACTATCTAGAACACCTTACCTGAATAATGGAATGGAAAGTATACTAATAATACAAAACTTTATTGTATTTTCCTAAAAATATTTTCCTCCCCATAATTCAATTTTTCTTGAATTATGTATTTTTCAACATCAGACACAGATCCAGGTTACATAAAATATCTATTCCAAATATGTCTCAGGCACCTCTACCCGGATTATCACTTGGATTTAACATAAAGCCGCACAATCATCCATCAAAACGAAGAGAAACAACACAACATTAGAAAGTAGTCCATTATAGGGCTATGTGGCACAGTGGGTTAAGCTGCCACCTGCAACTGCCAGCATTCCATATTAGTGCCAGATCAAGCCCTGGCTGCTCCACTTCCAAACCAGCTCACTGCAAAGGCACCTGGGAAAGCAGAAGACAGTCCAACAACTTGGGACCCTGCCAACCACGTGGGACACTCCGATGAAACTCCTGGCTTTGACCCCGCCTAGCCCTGGCCATTAGGGCCATTTGGAGAGTGAACCAGTGAAAGATCTCTTTCTCTGTCACTATGCCTTTAAAATAAATCTTACTAAAAATAAATAAGTAAAAACAAGTTGTTATGGCAAAACCCTTATGTAATATTGACAGTGATACCAACAAAGCAATGGCAACCTGTATGTCCTTACCTGGAGATGTGGAGGGCCCATAGGAGGAGGTATCCCTCCTGGAGGTGGCATTGGCGGCATATTAGGATCAAAAGGAGGTCGCCCAAAGGGGGGCCGAGGTGGTGGAGGAGGGCCTCGCATCATACCGAAAGGCGGAGGAGGTCGCATGAGAGGTGGCGGGCCTCGCATCACTGCATTTGGTGGGGGAGCCGGGCCTCGGAACCTCAAGGCCTGCTGTTGAGCCATCCTGTGTGGGAAAACAACAAAAAAAATGTTTGTTTCTTTAAGTTACAAAACAAGTAGTTAATAATCTCTAATTTTATCAAATTTAAAAGGTACTTAAATCCAAGGAAAATTGAAAAGACACTATTTTGCAACCATTACAGGAAAAAATCAGTAAGAATGACCAACAGCTACTGAATCCTGAGGGAAATCTGGAGGAGGATATCTGAAAGCTCTGAAAATGTCTTTCCACATACTGCTTATACGTAAGTTCAAAGGAGGAAAAAAAAACTGTAAGAATAAAAAAATTGGAGGATACCTTAACTAAGTGATAAATATTAGTATTGTCTAATAAGAAGAGATGGTCACTTGACTTGGAGGAACACATCACCTGTTCCAGTCAAGAACGTGTAAACTCAATTTAACAATCAGGAAATATTAGCCAAATACAAAACAAGGAATGTTTTATTTCATGGGGAGATTGTATTCTTTAGAAATGTCCATGTGGGGCTGGCGCTGTGGCGTGGTAAGTAAAATCACCCCCTGCAGTGCCAGCATCCCATATGGGCGCCTGTTCGAGTCCCGGTTGCTCCACTTCTGATCCATCTCTCTGCTACGATCTGGGAAAGCAGTAGAAGATGGCCCAAGTCCTTGGGCCCCTACAACCACATGAGACCCAGAAGCAGCTCCAAGCTCCTGGTTACTCATAGGCCCAACTCCGGCCATTGCAGCTATTTTGGGAGTGAATGAGCAGATGAAAGATCTTTCTCCGCCTCTGCCTCTCAAAAAAATAAATATTTAAAAAAAAAAAGAAAGAAGAGAAATGTCCATGTTACATACAAAAAAGACAAACGTAGGCCGTGGAAATGTTCCATTTTAAAGACACATGACAAGGCCGGCGCCGAGGCTCACTAGGCTAATCCTCCGCCTGCGGCGCCAGCACCCCGGGTTCTAGTCCTGGTTGCTCCTCTTTCAGTCCAGCTCTCTGATGTGGCCTGGGAGGATGGCCCAAGTGCTTGGGCTCCTGCACCCGCATGGGAGACCAGGAGGAAGCACCTGGCTCCTGGCTTCGGATCGGCGCAGCGCACCGGCCGTAGCAGCCATTTTGGGGATGAACCAGCGGAAGGAAGACCTTTCTCTCTGTCTCTCTCTCTAACTCTGCCTGTCAAAAAAAAAAAAAAAAAAAAAAAAAGTTTGGCCAGAGCCGTGGCTCACTTGGCTAATCCTCCACCTGTGGCGCCGGCACAACGGGTTCTAGTCCCAATTGGGGCGCCGGATTCTATCCCGGTTGCCCCTCTTCCAGTCCAGCTCTCTGCTGTGGCCCGGGAAGGCAGTGGAAGATGGCCCAAGAGCTTGAGCCCTGCACCCACATGGGAGACCAGGAGGAAGCACCTGGCTCCTGGCTTTGGATTGGCACAGCGCGCCAGCCATAGCGGCCATTTGGGGGGTGAACCAATGGAAGGAAGACCTTTCTCTCTGTCTCTCTCACTGTCTAACTCTGTCCTTCAAAAAGACACATGACAACACAACTACTCACATAAGACTGCATTCTGGGGGCCGGAGCTGTGACATAGCGGGTAAAGCCGCCACCTCCAGTGCCTGCATCCCAAATGGGCACCAGTTTGAGTCTCAGCTTCTCCACCTCCAATCCAGCTCTCTGCTATGGCCTGGGAAAGCAGTCCTTGGGGCCTTACACCCATATGGGAGACCTGGAAGAAGCTCCAGGTTCCTAGCTTCAGATCAGCCCAGCTCCAGCTGTTATGGACATTCGGAGAATGAACCAGCGGATGGAAGACAATTTTCTCTCTCTCTTTCTGCCTCAACTCTCTGTAACTCTACCTTTCAAGAAAATAAAAATAAATCTTTTAAAAAAAGATTGGATTCTGTACCAAAGAGAAGAAATGCCACAAAGGACATTACTGTAACAACTGACAAGATTAAACTACTAAATCATTTTAAATTTTTGAAGTTAACTTCTGGGCTATAGCCAAGTAGAGCAGCAGCTCTACTCTTGGAAAATGCACGCACACTGAAGTGATTAAGGGTGAAAGTCCACAGGTATATATATCTCACCCTCAAATGGTTCAGAGAAACAAAGAGCTTGCTCATGTGCAAATACAGCAGAAGAGGTAAAATAATCACACTAAGTGTTCTATGTTTATTTTTTCAGTTTTTTTAAGTTTGAAATTACTTCCAGATACAAAGTTTCTAAAAAGATTTATTTATTTATTTGATTTGAAAGGCAGAGTTAAAGAGAGAGGGAAAGACAGAGATCTTCCATCTACTCATTCACTCCCCAAATGGCCACAATGGACAGAGCTGGGCTGGTCCAAAAAGCCAGGAGCTTCTTCCAGGCCTCCCATGTGGATGCAGGGCCCCAAGCACTTGGGCCATCCTCCACTGCTTTCCCAGGAAGCTGAGAGAAGGATCGAGGAGCTGGATCAGAATTGGAGCAGTAGGGACTCAAACTGGTGTCCATGATGGATATCATAAGAGATCACCAGTATTCTCTATTTAAAGGAAAGGCCTTTCCCTGCACTGCGCTCTGCCTCATCCTACTCTAGATAAAGACCCTGATGTACTTCTCCATGACATTTAAACTTTTTTTTTTTTTGACAGGCAGAGTGGACAGTGAGAGAGAGAGACAGAGAGAAAGGTCTTCTTTTGCCGTTGGTTCACCCTGCAATGGCCACCGCGGCCGGCGCACCACGCTGATCCAATGGCAGGAGCCAGGTACTTATCCTGGTCTCCCATGGGGTGCAGGGCCAAAGAACTTGGGCCATCCTCCACTGCACTCCCTGGCCACAGCAGAGCTGGCCTGGAACAGGGGCAACCGGGACAGAATCCGGCGCCCCAACCAGGACTAGAACCCGGTGTGCCGGCACCGCAAGGCGGAGGATTAGCCTAGTGAGCCGCGACGCCAGCTTCTCCATGACATTTAAACAAGTCGTATCAGAGATGGTATTACCTCTTCCTCAAAGCACTTTTTTAAAGATATATATATATACATACACACACACACACACACTTAAAGGTACCTCCTATGTGCCAGGCAGTGCTCTAAATTCTTTGCAAACATTGTCATTTAATCATCATGAAAACCTTATGAGACAGATACTATTTTTAACCTCATTCTGCAGATGAGGAATTAAGACATTCAAAAATTAAATAACATGCCCAAGGTCAAACAGCTGGTTCTGTGGTAAAATCAGATTCAAATAACTCTTAAAGCACTCTGGTGTCATGTAAATTTCTTCACAGCAGAAAATTCTGTTTACTCTTACATCCCCAGCACAGTTAGATCTGAGCACAGAAGTGCTCAGTAAATATTTGTCATATGAGCCAATGAATACTTAGGTGATCCTGCATCTATGGCACCTTGTAAGTTGGGTATGCAGACGCTTACAATCTTACTACAATTTTCCATAGTCAATGTGCTATCTACTATGATCTTAGCAAAGGCTACTATAAATCTCTACATTACACATGAGACAGACATTTCTGTGCTCAAGAGAACAATCACATTCTTCATATACTCTTTTTTCTTTAAAGAGTTCTTTATTTGAAAGGTAGAGTTACAGAGAGACAGAAACAAAGAGACAGAGAGAGAGATATCTTCCAATCGCTGGTTCGCTGCCCAAATGGCTGCAATGGCAGGAGCTAAGCCAATCCAAAGCCAGTGGCCAAGAGTTTCTTTTGGGTCTTCCACATGGGTGCAGGGGCCCAAGAAACATTAGCAGGGAGCTAGGTTGGAAGTGTAGCAGCCATGATTTGAACCGGCACACTGCTATGCCACAGTGCCAGCCTCTCCACGTATATTTGAAAAAATCATCTTTATATTCTCTCCTCTTCAATTCTGCTTATGATCACCTTTGAATTTCTCTGAATTTTCCACATTATAGTTCAACAGTCACACACACACACACACACACACTCAAGAATGAACTTCACTGTTGATGACCAGGATGGTAAACATGTCCACATGGTACACCAAGTATGTTTAGCCAAATATGCAAATGATCCTATGCTCCAAAGGCCAGAAAATATGAGTTAAAGACAGTTCTCGTAAAAAGGAATATGGACTATATCAAAATAATCAGATCTTTTTCAAAATTATATACACCCCCCCCCCCAAAGCCACTGTTACTGAAGGAAATGTCTTACCTTTGGACAGAAAAAAGTTAACCAAAAAGATATTGTTTCAGCCTTGAGCAAATAACATCGCTTAATTTTAGATTTCCTTCTAGTCTACCTATTTTTGCCAAATCTACTATATTCTTTTCCTTTGAATTTCATAATTCCTGGTCATAGCTTAAAAGTGAGGCACTTATTTTCTAGAATCAAGAAAAAGTTGCATTAGGGCTCTATCATACTAGTTATGTAATTTCTGAGTCTGAGTCCACTCGGGAAAAAGAAAAGCTACCTCATATTTTGGTTCAGAGATAAATAACAGTGAAACTTTTAGGATAGTACCCAGCACTCAGTAAACTTGAACATTATTTTCAGACCTCAGCAAAATCTAACAGAGTGCTTTGTCTTTCAAAGAGGCACTTTGGGGACTGGTTCTCTGTCATGTAGCAGGTTAAGCTGCCAATTGCAATGCCAGCATCCTTTATGAGTGCCAGTTCAAGTCTCAGCTGCTCCACCTCCTACCCAACTTCCTGCTAATGTGCCTGGAAAGGTAGGAGAAGATGGCCCAAAATCCTGGGCCCCTGCTACCCACATGGGAGAACCAGATGGCGCAGTTGGCCCCTGGCAGCGACAACCATTTGAGGACTGAACCAGTGGATGGCTCATTCATGTTCTCTCTCTTGTACTCTAACTCTGCCTTTCAGATAAATAAGCAAATCTTTGTGGGGGGGGGTGGGGGACAAAAGGCATTTTAATTTACATCTCACTAAACTGGTGATAAAATGCACATAACTTCCTTCTTCAAATGCCAACAGCTGCCATTTTTTGAAGCTGGTTTTTGTACAACTTACTGAGTTCTTTATATACACTGCTTCATTACAATAACCTCAGTATATCCTGCAGTGAGGATTATATGACCCAATCAAGTACTTAAAAAACAGTGCCGAGCACTTAAGTGCAACCTATAAGCTATTATTACTGTTACTGCAACATTAGCACAGTAATAGTATTGGCAAGTGTTACGTGGTATTACTATTAAGAGTGCTACCTACTATTACACTGGTAAATATATATTACTAGGACCTATATAGCCTGGCCCTGTTGACCTGCCCAAAGACTCTATCTAGTCTTTCCAATCATAGAAAACTTTAAGTTCATTACTTAGAAGCCTCTGCACTTATACCCTTTGTTTGGCACGTCCCCAGATGTTTATATGATGCCTTCTCTCATAATTCAGCTTCAGTTCAAATGCCACCTCAAGCTGCTTCCCCATTTGTAGTCTCTCACAGTCTGTGGCTCATTACCCAATTTCAGTAAGCAATTATGAGAAATGTTATAAAGAAATCTCTCACTTTTACTTTTGTATTGCCTTTACTAATAGTACAGGATTCCCTTTAGTATACTGTGGCACTGCCTTTCTTGCTTTAACAATGACAGTGAACACTGGGTACCTTCCTATATTCCAGGCAAAGTTACATGGATGTCAGTGTACTAACTCCCAATCTTTACTATAACCCAATAAGGTATGTCTGGTTCCATTTTACAGAGGAAACCATAGCACAGAAAAACAATTTGCTTAAGACAGTTGGTCAATAGTTAACAGCAGGGTATTCTTACTCTCATTTCTACAGGCAAGAAAATCTAGACTGCAAGTACTTCACGTCCTAAGTATTAATAGGAAAACACATACCCTAAGGATCCATGTAAATATGACTCTACTGGGTGGGCCTCTGCTGGACCAATGAAGCTGGCAGCTGGAACATCGCATTCCAAATCCGAGTGCCTGGGTCCAGGTTCAGTTCCAGGTTCTGCTCCCCATTCCAGCTTCCTATTAGTGTACACCTTGGGAGGCAGTGATAATGGCTCAAGTAGTGGAGACATGAATCAAGTTGTGAACCACTGGATGGGAACTTGTATGTGTTAGATAAACATGACTTTGAAAGTTACTTTAATGGCCCTCAACCATAAAGGGACAGATGGCATTTGGATCTCTGAATTTCCATCTATTGTACTTCCTGCTGCTTTAAAACCTTTTTGGGAAGCAAAAGACTATCTATGAGACTAGAAACAAACAAACAAAAATTCACAAGAACACCATGGAAATACAAACATTTTTCTAGGAGTGCTCTATATAGATAGGCAATCTCAATGGTGAAAACTAGACTGCAAACACTTTAACTGGAGGGGCAAGATGTACATGGGAGGCAAATTACAATAATTGAGTAAGGAGACCTAAGTTTCAGTCTAAACCCTGGCCACTACCCATCGACTTTGGATAAGTCATTTCAAACTTGCACATTGGGTTTTTCATTTCATGTGGTTGGTTTAGTTCAGAATCTGGATCAGTCTCAATTAGAATGGAAACAAAGGGGAGAGCAAAGGCCTCTCATGATTTGGTTCAGGATCTACTGCCAGCATCCAGGTCTGTAACTGCCTCATGAACACAGGCCAGCAAGGGTACCACCTCTAAGTCTCCTGTCTTCATTTATTTATCTATAGATTATTCTGTCTGCCACTGTGATAGACACAGCCACGAAATACATCCAGGATAGATTTTTATAAAGACTGAGTCCAAACTTCTGCCAGCACAGAACACATGAACAGCTAATTTCTCATAAATCATGATAAATGCTAAAACAAAGGTCTATCCACACGCTCTGCAACTTCCAACCCAAGAGGCTAAACTACCTGCAACAGCACACCTAATCTAATGCCCTACCTAAATCAGTTTTGCAATATCTAGTTTACAAATAGTCTAAAAGGCTATGACTGTACAGCTGAAAACACTCTATGAAACATAAAACAATGTTACCTAATCAATCCATCTGAGACTAGCCAAGCAGTAATCTTCTGAGATCAGCATCAAGAACAAGCTCCACCATTAACACTGGAAGATACCCACTACCCACTTTGTTCACTCATTACCACTGTGCATATGGGGCTGATGAGCTTAAGAACTACCTCTGAAATAAGTACTGCCAAAGTAGAAATGTCTGTACCTAACATTGCAGAATCTGAAAGACATTATCTTCTCCTAAAACTCTAACAATAAGCTCTGGACAGTATTAGACTCGTCATCATCTCCACTGCGTTTTTCAATTTTAAACGCTGACAACGGCACAATTCAGAATGTCAGCTGAACATCTGAAATGACATTTCTCCCATCGGGGCGGGGGTGGGGGGGTGGGGAGAAAGTACACTAGATATACATCAAGCACAGGACCTCTTTCCCATCCCCTCAAAAACCGGCTTGTTGCTTGTTTTTTATCCTGGTCACATTTTTCTTATCAAACTCTAACGACAAACTCCGCAGGCACTGAATTCCCGAGGAAGGAAGGTCACTGCGCTCCTTTTTTAGAGCACGGGTGTGGGGGAGAGGGGGGGTGGAGGAGAAGAACAGAATTACCCGAAATTGCACGTCCATAGCCTGCCTGCCGCGGCTTAACCTGCTCCACCCAAGCGGTCTTAACCCCGCACTCAAACCCCTACGAGGCTCGGTTTCCTCATCCGTACGCCGCGCGAGCAACTTGGCCGAAGGGCCCTCGGCGCTGGGGCCTACAGAGCCGGAGCACCAATTCCTGCAGCGGGTGGGCTCGGGCAGGAGAGGAGAGACAGCCCCAAGTAAGCGCCTCACCCCCCGCTGCCGCTTTTGTTATTCACAGCTCCGGGATACGGAGGGATAGAGAGAGACCGAGGGAGACAAGCCACAGGAAGTTAAGAAAGGCAAGTGGGTGGGGGTGGGGGACGAGATCAAACAGCAAACGTGGACGGCCCGGAGGGCGTGGAGAAGGCTGAGCCAGAGACGGGAGAGGCCCCTGGGAGTTAACCGCACCGCCTAGGGACGTCGATGGGGAGAAGCGGGCCGCGGCCGAGCCGAGCCGGGAAGGCAGGCGGAGGGCGGCAGAGGCCCAGGCGGCACGCGGCTGAGGTGGGGCTCCAAGCCGGGAGCGCCCGGCCCGGCCTGCAGGCCGCGACGGACAACTGGGCCCCGCGGAAGCCGCAGGGAGCACCCCGAGACCGCGCAGAAGGCCGCGCGGCACGGCCCCGGCCCGGCTCTCATTCAAGCCACCTTCCCTTCCCCCTTCTCTAACCCCATGCGGTTCTGGCCCCAACCCGCCCCGTCCTTGCTGCCCACCGTCCGCTCCGGATCTCCACGAGCAGGCCTAGCCACTGGGAGTCCAGCGCGCCGAGATGTGCGAGAGGGCAGCGCCCCTTACCTCAGCTCCCCCGGGTTGAATCGCTCACCGTCCCCCCCGTCCCCGCCACGCTCCGCCATTACAGAGGGCCGCGTTCATCCACCCGCCGACCCGACGCCACCTATTGGCCGGAAGGATCGTCAATCCCGTGCGAGAGAGGCGGAGATAGCGGAAGTCTATGAGATGATTGGTGAAGCTTTCTATCCATCCTCCAGGTGGAGGCGGTATCTGCTTTACTATTGGACAAAGGACCCGCCGACTTTGAAAGCGGTATGGAGACAGCCAGAGGATTGGTCGCTCGGAGGCTTTATGGGAAATGAGACTTTAGCAAAGAGGAACCACCGGCGCCCTCTCGCGGTAAGCGAAACTAGGTCCTCCCACGTTTCGCCCAGCGTGAAGTAGCCACGTGTCTGCCGGCTTCCAGGAGACCCAATTGTGGAGCCATATTGGCCACTAGTAGCTCAGGCCGAAAGCATTTCCACGGGGTGAGCCAATCAAAAAAGACCTGGATCGCGCCTAAACCAATCATAGAGTTGAGGCGGAAGGAGTTTTCGCTATTTGACTTATTGGAGTCTTAAGTCAGCACTCGGCTGTGTATCCAGTTTATGAAATAATATCTGGTGATTACAAGAAGACCTCCTAAAATTGTACTAATTAGTTGCATCTGATGGGTGTTCTGAGTTGCTTTATTGAAAAAGTAAATTGGAGAAGCCAGCCTCTTAGCAGTACACAGCCTTAGCGTCCTCCTTCAATCTCAAAATGCAGTTATCTGAAATTGGCACACCCTGCTACCCAAAAAGAACTCTAAATATTTCTTTTATTCTTCGATTAAAGGGGAAAAGACGGCTGAGGCTCTGGAGTTGCAAAGACAAGATGAAAGCAAACCTATTAATAAAGAGCTCAAAGCATTAATAAATTTTACTCAGACTTAACAGTGTATACCAGTACTTTCCATACAATTAAAAAAATAAAACCACCACCACCATGGGACCAGCGTTGTGACACAGCAGGTTAAGCTGCCACCTGCAGCGCCAGCATCCCATGTTAGAGTGCCTGTTGAAGTCCAGGCTGTTCTATTTCCCATCCAGTTTTCTGGAAAGCAGAGGATGATGGTCCAATGCCCTCCCCCCACCACGTGGGAGACCCAGATGGATTTCTGAGTGCCTGGCTTTGACCTGTGGCCATTTTGGGAGTGAACCAGAGAATGGAAGATGTCTCTGTCTGTCTCTCCCTCTTTCCCCTTCAAATAAAAAAAATTTTTAATGAATTTTTAATTTTTTTAGTTACATTTCCTTTTTATTTTTCAGTTTTTAACAGATTAAATGTAGCTTCAAGATACAGTTCTAAGAATGTTTAAAAAAAACACACAACAAAACAAGAAGTGAGTCATATGCATAGCCAGTTAATATATAAGAATGAGGCAGAAAAGTAACTTGCCCCAAATCCCACAGCTAGTAAGTAGCAAGCGTGGCCTTAACCAGAAGGCAGTGTGGCACAAAATTCGCGCTTTGAATTACATGATCCAGAATAATTGGGTCCACAGAAAAATGCTCACAGCACCAGTATCCACAATAGCCAAGAAGTGGAAATAATCTAACGTCTATCAGCCGGTGAGTGGTTTAGAAAATGTGCTACATCCATACAATGGGATATGTTCAGCTGTAAAAAGGAATGAGGTACTGATATATGCTGCAACAGGGATGAACCTGGAAAATATAGTACGTGAAAGCAGCCACACACAAATAGCTACAGATGGGATGACTCGTTTCTAGGAAACGGTCAGAATAGGCGAATCTATAGACAGAAAAGCGAGTAACTGGAGGTGACGACATGCCCCTGAAGTCCCTCTTGGATGCTAACGAGATTCTGGTACTGGGTAGTGGTAGTGGTGGCCCAATTCTGTGACTACATGAAAACCCATTGAGAGGTCACATCGAATGGTGGGTTTTGTTGTATGTGAATTGTATTTCGATAAAAAGTGCCACGTTCTCCTGATTCTCAGCTGAATATTCCCAATCAGTTATGTCTGATAAAATGTGGTAAGTGCTAAACACAGAGTTCTGAGCATGAGTAATTGGAGAAGGGATGGTAACATTTCAGTAAAGATGTGACATTTGAACAAAAAACTAAAAGTGGGGCGTTCGATTCTTTTTTCAACATCAGTATTCATCCCCAAGTGCTGGCCAACTTACTCTGAAAATAATACTGGCATGGAGGGCTCATTACAGCTGAATCCCCACTGCTGAGAACACTGACTCAAAGTGGGCACCCTGTGGAAAGTGAGTCACTGGCATTTATAAAGGATGAAAACAGTGTGAAGAAACTCCTTGCAGATCCACTGAAAGTTCATTATCTACTGACTTCTAGCATGTTATCTATACCTAAATATAGTTTAAGATATTTAATTTCTTTTGTAATCTTATTTTCAAGTAGATTAAATGTATAGTCAGCCCTCCATAAAATCCCTAAGTGCCACATCTGCTAAGTCAGCTGCTTATAATTAGAAAACAATATTCATTCAAAAAACACTGAATCTTGGAGCAGGCATGTGGGACAGCTGAGATGCCACTTCGGGTACCGGAGTCACGTACTGGAGTTTGGCTCTTGGTTCCTCTCCTTCTGATCCACCTTCCTGCTAATGTGCACCCTGGGAGGCAGAAGATGATGGCTCAAGCACTTGGGTTCCTGACACTCCTATGACAGACCTGGTTGGAGTTCCTGGCTCCTGGCTTCAGACTGGAGAGTGAGCCAGTGGATGGAAAAAATCTCTCTCACTATCTTTCAAGTAAGATGAAAATAAATAAAAATCAACTTATCTTTTAATTCCATTTTCTACAAACTTTGAATCTACCAGCCCTCCCCCAACACACCTTTTTTTTAATGTGTAGAGGTCAAATTGTTTATTGTGCAGAAATCTCTATTTTTCTTGTTGCTGTTACAAAGAATTGCAAATTCGCATGAGTAAACTGCATATTGATGAGGAAACTGAGAAGTCCTGAAACCCACGGACAGACAGGCAGGCAGGCAGACACCATCACCCTGACCCTCACAGCGACTGCAAAGCTGGGAGGAGGGCACCGGCTTCCCTCCTGCTCCTTTTCCTCTCAGAGGCCACGCTGAGGCTGCTCTCCATCTGTCGTTGCCCTTTGCTCTGGTCTCCTCGTTCTGCAAACCCTGCTCCTCCTCTCACTCACTCTATTCATGAATTTAAGGGCAACAGTCAGCTCTCACCTCCCTCCAGGGTAGCCACCCACCTCTGCCAAACCTCTCATTATCTCTGGCTACAAATTCTTCAGAGAGAAAACTCCAGCTGGTTCCTGGGTATTATCTGGTATTGATTCATGCGTTGATCTCCGTGCCAGTTTTGTGTAAGCAGAGTAAGGCCCAGAGCACTGGTGACTTTTTCAGAGTCTGACCTGAGAAAGGCGCTGGCATCCATTTTTCAGAACCACCCTTGGATGATTCAACTCTTCCCCCAATTTAGTTGTCACCCTCGCCCCCGGAGAAGCTGCGATTCAGCTTCGAAAGCAGCCCTCACTTCCAACTTCAATGGCTCCTTGTTATCTATTGGTATAAAGAACAGATTTTAACGTGGTCTTTGTAGCTTTCAAATCTCTGCCATACCAGCTCTACGGCTCCATCTTTCTCATGACGTTCCAAGTTCTGCTCACCTATGATTTCTTTCACTGCCTCAAAGGTACCCCTTCTTTTCACCTGGGACACTCATTTCCTGTGTTTTGCCTCTGCCTATATTGCTTGTGTTGCCCTCGTTCACTCAAACAATTCTATCTGTATTAGGTACCTATTGCTGCATAACAAATCATCCCCAAACCCAGGAGCTGGAAGCAACACAACTAATTTTTTCACAGCTTCCATGGGTCGGGAATCCAGGCACAGCCTAGGAGACTCCGGCCCCGTGTTCCTCACGAGGCCACCATCAGGATGTCGACCAGGCTGCAAGACTCACCTGCCATTCATTGAAGGCTCAGCTTCTGAGTTCACTCACCTGCTGGCTGGCTTGTGTCGGTTCCTCACAGGTTGTCAGACGGAGGACGTGCCATGTAGACTGCTCCGTAGGAATGATCTCTGCAGTGTCCTCCCAGGACAAGCAATCTAAGATGTAGAATGCCCAAGAGAGAAGCCACAGCCTTTTCACAACGTACTATGGGAAGTGGGTTTCCATCGTTTTTGCCCATATTCTGTTCATGAGAAGCAAGGCAGTCATTGCACACCCACTTAAAAGGCAGCGATTACACAGGGGCTGACTCTCGGGAGGAGACCACTGGGTCAGACACCCTTTCAAGTCTCAGTTTATGCATTACTTCCTCAAGGAGCCATTCTTCAGAGAAAGTGTCTAACCTCTGCTACCCTAAGTAATTCCCCCTGTTATAGTCTTTGGTGGTCTAAACATCTTCTAGACATTCCAGCTACTTGTTTTTACATATCATAACCTTGAACATTTTATACATGTTTTACATATTTTATCTTTTAACCTACCAACTCACTTTATAATTTTAATGCTGAAGTATTTTCATGAAATTCCAGGCATCCTAACTTTCGACATACTAAATATTTCAGTATGCATTTTTTAAATCCCATGATTTTCTAAACAGCAAACATAATGTTTTCATACCTACCAAAATTAACGATACCAAATCCATATTCAACCTTCGCCAGCTGTCCCCAGCATGTCCCTTCCAGCTGGTTTGGCCAAATCAGGATCCAACTTAGAACTGAGCAATGCATCTAGTTGCTGTGTTCCTCCAGATACTTTTTACCTACAACAATCCCTTTTAGCATGACATTGACTGGCTGAAGACCAGGCCAGTTTCACCTTCTAGATCTGTCTCATTACTTCCCCAAATTTTTACATTTCCTGTAAGCAGGAAGTTAGATCTGAAGATCTGATCAGATTCAATCAACTTCATATTAAGAGAACTTTATAGATAATGCACATATTTCAGTTATATCACATCAGAAAATACATGAATGTCTGATTGTCCTACCATTGGTGGTTCTAAGATTGACACTGAGTAAAAGGTGATGACGGCTATTGTGACTTTTTTTTCTATTGTAATTTTTCTATTGTAATCAGTATTTTCTGCATGCTCCTACTTTGGTTTCATACAAATGTCCAGTTCCTTATCAATAGGGTGACCCTATAATTTATCATCCAAACCATCATGTTCGAAAATGAAAGGAGCACTACTCACAAGTAAGAATGGACAAGAGTCATAAATTAGGACCATCTCAGTCAAAATGGGATGAATGGTCAACCTACCTGTCAACCATTAACCTAATGTTCTGATGGTTTTATCTCTTTCTGAATCAATACATCCCATTCCTTAGGGATGGCAAACTAATGATTTTCTAATTATATATTACTGGCTAAATTTACTAGCTCAGTCTTTTATAAATTAGAGATTTCCTTCAATAGCAAAAGCTATTCAGCTTCTCTAAAGTAAAATTTCTATTTTTAAAATGTATAAATTCTTTCCCTTTATCAACTTTCAGTGTAAAAAGATGGATTGATAGGAATTTCAACCAGAGACATGACTTTTTCTGATTTCTTCTTTAAGTATTATATGAACTCACAGATTTTCAATAGATTAAGTGTGTCTGAATCAATTACAATCAATTTGTAAATTTTTATTTGAAAGGCAGAGAGAGAGAGAGATCTTCCATCTACTGGATCACTTCCCAAATACCTGCAACAGGTACAGCTAAATCCAGATCGCAGAACTCCTTCTGGGTCTCCCACATGAGTGACAGAGACCACAGAATTCAAGCCATCACCCACTGCCTCCCAGGATGTGCATTAGCAGGAGGCTGGAATCAACAGTGGAGCCAGGATTCACACCCAAACACCCTGATACGGAATGTGGGTGCCTCAAGCAGCATTTTATTTTATTTATTTATTTATTTATTTTGACAGGCAGAGTGGACAGTGAGAGAGAGAGACAGAGAGAAAGGTCTTCCTTTGCCGTTGGTTCACCCTCCAATGGCCGCCGCGGCCGGCGCGCTGCGGCCGGCGCACCGCGCTGATCCGATGGCAGGAGCCAGGAGCCAGGTGCTTTTCCTGGTCTCCCATGGGGTGCAGGGCCCAAGCACTTGGGCCATCCTCCACTGCACTCCCTGGCCACAGCAGAGGGCTGGCCTGGAAGAGGGGCAACCGGGACAGAATCCGGAGCCCCGACCGGGACTAGAACCCGGTGTGCCGGCGCCGCTAGGCGGAAGATTAGCCTAGTGAGCCGCGGTGCCAGCCTCAAGCAGCATTTTAACACCTGTGCCAAATGGCCACTCTCAGTCAATCATTTTGATGCCCAAATTGCCATACATCATCCATTTACTCTTCACAACAATCACCTAAGTGAGGTATCACTCCTATTCCCTTTTTACATATGAAGAAACTGAAAAAAAGAGAATATAAGACGTTAGGTAACTAAGGTCACTCATATAGCAACGTCAATGTCCAGTTGAATATAGACTCCAAGAGAATATGCAATGTGTACATTTTTAAAGATTTATTTATTTATTTGATAAAGCATCAGAGAAAATTGAAGAGAGAGAGAAAGAGGAAGAGAGAGAAAGAGGAAGAGAGTTCTATCAGCTGGTTCACTCTCCAAATGGCTACAACAGCCAGGCAAAACAGGAGCCAGGAACTCCATCCTGGTCTACCACATGGATGGCAGGTGGCCATCTTCTACTTCTGTCCCAGGCATATTAGCAGGAAACCAGATCAGAGCAAAGCAGCTGAGACTGAAACCAGTGCTCCGCTATGGGATGCCCATGTTGTAAGCGGCAGCTTCACCTGCTATGCCATGCCTGTCCTGCATTCCTGTTTTTAAATCACTTTTTCTCCTTAGTTCAATGGCCATCAACAAGTCATTGAGCAAATTAATTAATTAATTACCCTTTGCACTTGACACCAGAAACATTCTCATACCTCTGAAGATTTTCAGATGAAGAAATGTAGTATATGGGTTAGCTTCAAAATAAACCAGTGTGGGAGATTGAAAGGATGGGGAAAGAGAGTGCCCGGTAACAGAAGAGGATCACAGATTTTTTTAAAAGTAAAACTGACTATACCTTGATGACTGCTGAAACTGAATGATAGGAGCCAGCATTGTGGTGTAGCAGGTAAAGCCCTGCCTAAAGTGCCAGCATCTCATATGGGCGTCGGTTCGAGTCTTGGCTGTTCCACTTCCAATCCAGCTCTCTGCTGTGGCCTGGGAAAGCAGTAGAAGATGGCCCAAGCCCTTGGGCCCCTGCACTTGCCTGGGAGACCTGGAAGAAGCTCCTGGTTCCTGGCTTTGGGTTGGCACAACAACAGCCGTTGAGGCCAACTGGGGGGTGAACCAGTGGTTGGAAGAACTTTCTCTCTCTCTCTCTCTCTGCCTCTGTCTCTCCTTCTCTGTGTAACTCCAACTTTCAAATAAATCTTAAAAAAAAAGAAAAGAAACTGAATGATAGGAGCCGGCACTGTGGCGTAGCATTAAGGCTGCTGCCTGCAGTGCCGGCATCCCATAAGGGCACTGGTTCGTGTTCTGGTTGCTCCACTTCCAATCCAGCTCTCTGCTATGGCCTGGGAAGGCAGTAGAAGATGGCCCAAGGCCTTGAGCTCCTGCACTTGCATAAGAGAGCTGGAAGAAGCTCCTGGCTCCTGGCTTCAGATCGGCACAGCTCCAACCATTGCAGCCAATTGAGGAGTAAACCAACAGGTGGAAGACTCTCTTTCTCTTTCTCTCTCTCTCTACCTCTTCACCCCTCCTTCTCTCTGCTTCTCTCTGTATAACTCTTTCAAATACATAAATAAACATTTT